TCCTCATTGGAGCTATGAAAACAAAGAAAAACAAATGATGATTTAGCATGTTCGTTAGGTCGGTCTGGACCAATTAATGAAGGTTTTTATTGGTGGACAAAAATGAACGTCTTTCACGTGCATGGTGGGTATGAGAGTTTTGCTCATAACAGGAGAAGATTGCATTGAGTGTTAATTTACTTGAAATCTGAAAGTTGTGAAACCTATTATTAATAAACTAAAACATATCACCCGATGTTATCGAGATCATATTGCACTTTGCAATAATTTCTACTGATGTGGCGATTCCTTATTTGAAAAAGAAGTATCTATGTAATGACGTTTATGTTTCTAATATTATTAAAAGTTTTAAGAAGTGTTTTTCTGCTATATATTATACGTCTACCCTACCCCATTTCGCACCCATAAATTGCTTTTTTTTTCCTCTAAACATGACCTTAAATGACCAATTCTGACTGATGACTCATTACATCATTCTGGTCAATTGACAACTGATTTTTACGCTAGAGAAATACTTTAGATGTCATGTGTTTTTAATTTGTTCAATGCTGGGCCTATGCTACCACTTTTCATGCCCCTAAACCATGGGCGCCTGCAGGGGGGGCGCAAGGGAGGCACTTGGCCCCCCCTGGATTGATTGGATAAAACTCTGACATCACACTCTCTTCCTCTTGGAGTAACGCTTACAGACACCCTCTCCATGGACAAACATGTCACGAATATATGCAGATCAGCATATAACGAAATTAGAAAAATTATCCCCATTAGACACCTCCTCTCCTTTGATGCCACAAAAACTCTCGTCTCTTCACTCATTCTTTCAAAATTTGACTACTGTAACACTCTTCTCGCAGGCATTCCTCAACACCACATAGACAAATTTCAGAAGGCACAGAACTCAGCATGCAGACTCATTTTTAAATCAAAGAAACATGACCACATTCAACCACACATGCGGCAACTCCACTGGCTTCCAATATCCTCTCGCATCAAGTACAAGTCTGCCAATCTATGCTTCAACTCGTTCACTGACCCTCACTTTCCTGTCTATCTCTCTGAACTGTTGCTTCCTTACATCCCCACAAACTTCCATTGACAATAGAACCCTCTCAATCCCAAGAACCAAAACTAAGACCATCGGTGAACGCTCCTTCTACTTCCATGGGCCCACGTTCTGGAACCAGCTCCCCTTCCATATCCGTCATTGTGAAACCTCATCCACTTTTAAAAAGTCCCTTAAAACTCATCTGTTTAGGTCCGCCTATGACCTGTGATGCACCCTTCTTGCCCTGCCTCATTTTCTGTCTCGGGTTGATCCTGTAGTATTGGCCAAATCGTGCCAAAGTGTCCTCGTTTTATAGCCATTTTAATTGTTTCTAAAGTATAGTAGTTACTATCCTAGTGTCTCATTTTTATTTTACTTAATTTACATGTTTTTAATAATTGTAAAGCGCTTAGAGCTTTAAGGTAAGCGCTATATAAAAATGCCTAATTAAATAAATACAATTTTTTTAGACAAAAATAGACAAAAAATGTATTAAAGTAAAGAGAAAATAAAGAGAAAGTAACTAAGCTGATGTACTGTCCGTTCGTTCACCATACAAATACGCTACAGTAAATTAAAACTACATTAAAAATTTTCGTTTTCTAAATATTTTTATGATTTCATTTGGAAATGCGAGAGAATTCTTTAACAAGTTTTTTTTTTTCCTGTAGTAGCATTTGAAATTTTTTTTTTTTTTTAAAGTAGAGTTAAAAAGCGGTTGTTTTTTTTTTTTAATTTACTTATGCCCAAATGCGGCCGATTCTATCATTACAGTTAATTTCTAATATAGGAAAATCGTTCAAACATAATCATGCATGATGTAACAGATATAGACACGTGACAACGTATCGCCACAGAAGAGCATGTTTCAGAGACAGTCAACAATTCGAGATCGAATCATCAAACTGCATTGCCATACCGAGCTGCACTGTTTTGGCAGATTGAGAGCAGACATATTCTAACATCATGACTCTGAATTCTTTTTAATTAATTATTTTTTCCCATAGTAGCCTAATATTTAATGTCATCCAATCTGTGCAGAAATGAAATATTCTCTTTTTTTTTTTTCTTTTTTTTTTTTATAAATCTTTTAGTTTATTTGTTTTTAACCAAAATAAAAAGAATGAAAATAAATGTCTCATTACAAAGGAAAAAAAAAACAACTTTTTTTTTTTTTACAAATCGTTCAGATTATATGCTTTTAGAAGTAGCCAAACTTAAAATGGTTCCCAAAAGGTAGCCTAGAACCTCATGCTTTTCGGTGACATGGTGTTGGTATTCGTTTCTTACTCATTTAACTTTGCTGCTTTATACAGAGATGTTTTCATATCCGCAAAGCAACTGTATGCCGAGACTAATAGAAGTTATGTAAAGCGGGCTACAAATCGAATCAGCTTTTATAAAACTGTTAGCCATGTCTAGCGGGCCACTAATTGAATCAGCTTTTATAGAACTTTTAGCCATGTCTAGCGGGCTACAAAGTGAATCAGCTTTTATACAACTTTTAGCCATGTCTAGCGGGCTACAAAGTGAATCAGCTTTTATACAACTGTTAGCCGTGTCTAGCGGGCTGCAAAGTGAATCAGCTTTTATACAACTTTTTGCCATTCCATCAACGCTAAAAATGTATAAGGTGTTTTACTTAAAATAGCAGCCAATCAAACAAAACTTAATGGCATGTTATGTTTGTCTCAGTTTTATAAAATCTATAATTCAGTTTCGTTCTACTAAAGACCTACACTCGTCTATTCCGATATAAAAAGTATACCATCGACACAGTTATACAAAACCTACTCATCAAATTTCATGAAATTTTTTGTTTTGAAATTTTACTTTTTTTTTAATAGGAATGAGTGAAGTTGCAAATAAAATGAATTTTAAAAAAATGTTGCGTTTTGATTCTTTGTGTATTAAAAAAAAAATAATCTCTGAACAACAGTCACCTTGAAATCAATACCTGATCATGCAAGTGAGACGAAAAGGGCATTACAAAAGTCAAACACAAACATTGTAAATCTAGATGTATAGTATTATATTTAATAAATAAATTAATATTAATATAAAAAAGAAAGTGCTTAGACTGACTGGCTCATTCACGCCTTGCCATGCCGTGTAACCCAGGCAGGGGAGTAGGAAGGAGGTGGGGGACTGCCCACCCCAGGTGGCACGTTTTTTAAAGAGATAGTTCCTATTGATGACTTGCGGTGACAAGAAATAACAGGCTCAGTGTAGCCCAATGTGGCAGCTGGAATAGTAAAGACCTACACTAACATGGGCGCCCGTAGGGGGAGGGGGGGGGCAAGGGGGACACTCCTCCCCCCTCTTGGATTGATTGGATAAAAAATTTTAGACAAAAATAGACAAAAAATGTATTAAAGTAAAGAGAAAATAAAGAGAAAGTAACTAAGCTGATGTACTGTCCGTTCGTTCACCATACAAATACGCTACAGTAAATTAAAACTACATTAAAACATTGCTAAAAAAATTTTGACCCCCCCCCTTGGAAAGTTAATCGATTTTTTTGCCCTCCCCCCCCCTAGAAAGTTTTCTGCAGGCGCCCATGCCCTAAACTAAAAATTGTGAAAATTAATCTTAAATTTACAATAAATACTCTATATACCATATTAAAAAGACATTTATTAAAAGAATTTAAAATACTGATATCTTCCTTAAAAATGTAACTAAACATTTGCCTTTGTTTTCTACTAGATTATCGGAAAATCATAAAACAAAGAATTATTTGTCTCCTAATATTCTTTCCCCGTCTGTAACAGCCTTGACTGTCTTTTTACAGAAATGTATTTATTTCATAGCAATATACACCCACTACTTTTCGCAAAATATAAACAAAAGACTTAAACAACCTGTATTTTTCAAAATTAAATTTTCACATGTGTAAAATGATTGTGTTTTTATATTCATAGGTATACTTATTTAAATGTACCCATGTTTGATTTTCTTAATAAGTAAACATATGTTTATTTGTGAAACGAAAATTTAACAGGCCTTAGCACAAATGTAATTACACTGGATTTAAAGATATTGTCATCCATGTCAAAATGTACACGACCTATTTCCTACCCCCGATATATATGTACATGAAAAGGTTATTTAATTTTCAAATTCATTCCTTTATTTTGAAGCGTATCTTGTCCTGGATGGGGCAAAAATGAAAGTATCGAATCCCCCTTCCCCCAGATTTGAATAACAATTAATATAATCATCCACAGAATTTTAGCCCTGTGTAAACTAACACAAACACAATTTTTTTGCACGTCCTTGAAGTAAATTAAAACTCTTAAGTCTCAGATCCCTTTTAACACACATTGTTTTATATTTTCTCAAAAATATATAAATTATACGTGCAATTCAGTATATTGAAATATTATGGTTATTTATTTTAACATTAAAAACTAAACAAAAATTCAAAGCTGTCACATAATTGGGTCTTTAATGGCAACTTCATGTGGTTTGTTTTTATTTGGATGAGTGATAACAGCATTAGTCAATGTTATTTGTCTATGAAGTTTCACTGCAGCGATTGACTTAAACGGCATTTAATTATGAAAAGTATATTTATAGGTTTATCTATAAATTTAATAAAAGTATATTTTTGGAATAAAAAATAAGTAAAAGATGATTAAATTTTAAAGATACAAGGCTAAAAATTGGTCTATTTGATTTTTTTACGCCTACAGACTTTTTGAAACGCGCCACAAAGTTGTAAGCGCCTGCACCATCTAGCCCTGAAATGTTGCTACGCGCCACACAGTTGTAAGAGCCTGCACCATCTAGCACCGACGCTAAATGGGAATCTATCAACAAAATATGAGAGAATTTACAGCATGGAAAACTATAAAATAAAACATGTCCAACTGAGATTAAAATACATTTCTCATTAACAAAAAACATGTCAAAGGGTTGGCTGGGTTGAACTATCAAATATATGTCCACGATGTTTCTAAAGGACCTACAACATTCCACACGTGGCAGGCGCTTGTGCGAGCCGTCTTGGATGAACTGGACTGTAATGTTGCTGTATGACTTACTTACATTGTATGTTCAAATACCCAGTGCAAATGCAGGTAAACTTTTTAAGTGACGAAGGGTGAAATCCTGAGCATATCAACAACCTGTGTCAGTGTCATGATTTGTCTGACTGCCTACATTTAGTGACATGGTGTTGCATGACCACCAACATTTTCGTGTCAGTGACATGATGGTGCCCGGCTGGCTAATAACATCCAGTGTCAGAGTCTCCATGTGGTGATGAGTATAGGGTAAACGTAATTAGTTTGAGAACTGGTGAATGGGACATGGTGAACTTTGGTCCGATAGGCTTTCCTAGTTAGAGGAAATTAAGAATATAAATTTAACTTTACATAAGTTATAGAATGTGGTAAACAATTATAGCCATGATAGAGAAGATTAGAAGGACCAATGGAGGACTTGAAATAGATATGGGTACATTAGTAGGACCAACGGAGGACACGAAGTATATATTAGGGAAATAAGTAGTACCAACGGAGTACTTGAAGTAGATAATAGGGAAATTAGTAGGACCAACGGGGGACTTGAAGTGGATATTATGGAAATTAGTAAGACCAATAAAGGACATGAAATAGATATTGGGGAAATTAGTAGGACCAACGGAGGACTTGCAGTAGATCTTGGGGAAATTAGTAGGACCAGCGGAGGACTTGAAGTAGATACTAGGGAAATTAGTAGGACCAATGAAGGACATGAAGTAGATTTTAGGGAAATTAGTAGGACCAGCGGAGGACTTGAAGTTCATGTATATGATTTTGGATGATCTGCATGGCGAAATATATTTGAGGATGAACTATTTGCTATGTTCAATTGTGTGGGATTATCAAGTGGAAATGTGCTAAATGATGTAAATAGGACGATACTATGGAAGTGAGGACTTGATATGGGGACTCTGAACAGGAGCGCATGGGCCCTTTTTGACAGTGGTGTTAAACATTTGAGCACTCATCGGATTTTATTCATTTATAAAGGTATTTGGACGCCAGCAAGTTCATCCAAGCCACCCCAACACCCAAGCCAGCTACGCCCCTGAATCTGAAAGGGTGGAGGAAAGGATATTAATGAAATTCATTTGTATTGAAATTGTATAAGATGGTAATGGGTATGAGGTTGAAGATTCAACACTTTTGAAATGTTACATCTGGCAACGTTCATTATAACGGGATATCTTAACTGAAGTCACACAAAATTATTATTATTCATCCTTGTTTTCATAGAGCTGGTATCTCAAGCAAGACAAGCACACACTGGCTGGAGTGATTGGGGTGCTTGGATGTGTCGAGATGTGTGTAAGAACAGCTCTTATGTGAGGAGAAGGTAGGCGTTTGCGTGGGAACCGCTCTTAAGAGAGTAGAAGGTAGCTGTATATGTGTGGGAGATGAGGTACTATATCTGAGTGGGAGGGTGAGGTATTGTGTATATGTGTGTGAGGTGAGGTATTGTGTATATGTGTGGGAGGGTGAGGTACTGTGTATGTGTGTGGGAGGGTGAGGTACTGTGTATGTGTGTGGGAGGGTGAGGTACTATGTATGTGTGTGGGAGGGTGAGGTACTGTGTATGTGTGTGGGAGGGTGAGGTATTGTGTATATGTGTGGGAGGGTGAGGTACTGTGTATGTGTGTGGGAGGGTAAGGTACTGTGTATATGTGTGGGAGGGTGAGGTATTGTGTATGTGTGTGGGAGGGTGAGGTACTGTGTATGTGTGTGGGAGGGTGAGGTACTGTGTATATGTGTGGGAGGGTGAGGTATTGTGTATGTGTGTGGGAGGGTGAGGTACTGTGTATGTGTGTGGGAGGGTGAGGTATTGTGTATATGTGTGGGAGGGTGAGGTATTGTGTATGTGTGTGGGAGGGTGAGGTATTGTGTATGTGTGTGGGAGGGTGAGGTACTGTGTATGTGTGTGGGAGGGTGAGGTACTGTGTATGTGTGTGGGAGGGTGAATGTGTGGGAGGGTGAGGTATTGTGTATGTGTGTGGGAGGGTGAGGTATTGTGTATGTGTGTGGGAGGGTGAGGTACTGTGTATGTGTGTGGGAGGGTGAGGTACTGTGTATGTGTGTGGGAGGGTGAGGTACTGTGTATGTGTGTGGGAGGGTGAGGTACTGTGTATGTGTGTGGGAGGGTGAGGTATTGTGTATATGTGTGGGAGGGTGAGGTATTGTGTATGTGTGTGAGAGGGTGAGGTATTGTGTATATGTGTGGGAGGGTGAGGTATTGTGTATATGTGTGGGAGGGTGAGGTACTGTGTATATGTGTGGGAGGGTGAGGTACTGTGTATGTGTGTGGGAGGGTGAGGTACTGTGTATGTGTGTGGGAGGGTGAGGTATTGTGTATGTGTGTGGGAGGGTGAGGTATTGTGTATGTGTGTGGGAGGGTGAGGTATTGTGTATGTGTGTGGGAGGGTGAGGTATTGTGTATGTGTGTGGGAGGGTGAGGTACTGTGTATGTGTGTGGGAGGGTGAGGTACTGTGTATGTGTGTGGGAGGGTGAGGTACTGTGTATGTGTGCGGGAGGGTGAGGTACTGTGTATATGTGTGGGAGGGTGAGGTATTGTGTATGTGTGTGGGAGGGTGAGTTATTGTGTATGTGTGACGGAGGGTGAGGTATTGTGTATGTGTGTGGGAGGGTGAGGTACTGTGTATGTGTGTGGGAGGGTGAGGTATTGTGTATGTGTGTGGGAGGGTGAGGTATTGTGTATGTGTGTGGGAGGGTGAGGTACTGTGTATCTGTGTGACAGGGTGAGGTATTGTGTATGTGTATGGTAGCACGTCATCTTACCAAACTATTTGGGTTCCGGTGTTTTTTGGAATACTATTTATCTCAGATAACTTGCAGGGAAAGGTTGCACTAATAAAGGGAAAAGAAAATTAACTCTTCTTCTCCGATAGTTATACACGTATCATGTTTTATGCCAGTGTTTCTCAAAAGTTTTTGGCCCGTTTTAACATTTTATTAAGTTTCATGGACCGCGTCCCCGTTATTAATATTTAAAAATTTTTAAAAATTACTTTTTTTCAAAGTTTTCGTGGATCACCTTAAAATATGCTCGCCCCAGCCCCGGGGCCCATAAGACCCACGCTCAGAAGCACCGCTTTAATATTTTAAGTATTAACCATTCCGCACGATGTATAATGGTCAGCTGACTGATGTCAAAAACCTGTGATGACTTGAATAATTTTTCCTGCGAAAATAGTTCGTTTCTAAAAATAGATGCTTAGGATAAAATCCGAGTTCATTTTGTATTTGCAGGCATGTATACTGCGATAAATATAAATTAGAGGTTTGCAGACCGCGTTATCTTAACGTAGCAAGAGTTTACCAGATAATAATATTTTTATAAAAACTGATTTTAAAAGACAGGGGATGTTCTGACACCCGACAATGCGGGTAGTCGGCCTTTGGATAATCGATGCCCCGCTGTAGTTGGTGGGCGTGTGTTGACGAAGCAATGTATCTAGGGATAAGCTTCAGAATACGGACTAAAGTTTGTAAATATTTTCCAAAACTGGCAACAAAAAAAAACAATTCAAAGATGAATCAATGACTTGCTCATATACTGCAGGGTTTGTTCAAGTCAGAATGACTCGATTTGTGCCGGAAACAAGGAGATGACCAAACCAGGTCTGTGCGTGACTAACGTAACATGTCCAGAAGGTAAGTACCACAAGCTATTTTAAGGTGAGTCAAACAACGATATAATGTAATGAAAGACAGGACATGTAATGACTTTGAATACCACAATGACGTCATCTCAACTTATTATTCTTGGTGACTTCCGGTTAGCAACAAGATGGCGGCCTTTCAAAGTTTTGAATACCGATATTGTACACAAATCAAGAAGAAACTGTGAAATGATTATCATAATTCCAAAATTCAATTTCAGGGAAGTCACAGTTGTCTTGAGCTTGAGACTACGCCTTACAGGCATGTATAGAATCAAGCTCTTGATCATATTGTAGTTTTATATGTGTTCCTGTTTTCCTTGCGTAGTCGGCCATCTTAGCTGTCATCAAAATCATTGCTCATGCATGCTAATGATACGCTTGGCGACACACCCCGGCTTATGTTCTAACGCGATCGATTATTGTCAATTAATGTCAAACGCATACTCTTGTCTGCTAATTTGGTGTATCGACTGAAAGAACTCTCCATTGGTCGAGGTCTGCCCTATCATAGTGGTGGACGGAAAGTTGGTGCACGACGAAAGAAGAAGCGCCTTTATCGAGCAGGTTGTCGGAAACAGCGTCCACTGAAAAACCACCATGGCGAAAGCCATGTCAACATTATTGGTTGTGGAGATCGTCATGTAAAGCCTTTAAACGAGGCTGTCGGTAACGATGGAAATCAGTCACATACTGTGTCCTCCATCGCGACCATTCCCTACGTGTCAATCCTAAGAGCACGGCCGGTGGCTCATGATTTCACACCGCCTCGACGGGGCGTGACGAGATCAAATTTAGTTGTTGCGTACTGCCAGCATGCTGTGAAGCCGCAATCACGGCATTTTGGGAGTGCTATATTTCAACTCCCAGTCCTGCAGGAATAAGACGGCCGAGGTGTGTGATCTTGTCTTGGAGAGCAGGGCCGACATTGTGTTCATTACTGAGACGTGGTTTAAACGTGTCGGAGATTAGGCGAAACTTCAAGAAATTACACCTCCGGACTACGTCCTTCACTCTTGCCCACGGCAGTCGCGCAGTGGTGGTGGTATTGCCGTCCTTTACAGGAACTCGCTTAAAAACAGTGTGGCCTTCACAAAATCGGACGAGTTTGTTTCATTTGAAATGTGCAAAATGCAACTTGATTACGGTGAACAAGCGATGACGTTTCTGCGCATATACAGGCCACCTCCAAATAAGCAAAATAAGTTGAAGATCTGTCAGTTAACTGTGGAGTTTATACAACTCCTTGACATGTACGCCACCCCCAACAACAATGTCATCATAATCGGCGACATAAACTGCCATTTTTACTCCACCACCGACAGCTACGTGAAGACCCTAAAATCAGCTCTCGACACACACGTAATGACTCAGATTGTCAGTGTCCCGATAAGAGGTCACATCCTAGATTGGCTGGTTGTCAGAGAGGACCGGGTAGCTATGATCCAAAACCTCATTATTGAGGACAAACGTATTTCTGATCACTTCCCAGTCACCTTCGACTTTGACTTGAGGAAGCCAGGACGCCTTCTGCGCCCAGTAACATCCCGTGACCTCCAAAAGATAGATCTAGCAAACGTTTAGATATGACGTCGCAGCCCTTGGGTGCAGTGAAGATGATCCTGCTACAGACTACAACAGTGGCCTCAGAGTTATTTTAGACAAACATGCACCACTGTCCACACGGCAAGTTACGGACCGCCCTTCCGCCCCATGGCTCACGCCCGAAATTAAGGACGCTAAGCAGAAGCAGCGACGTGCAGAACACCAATTGCGGAAGTCGGGCTTGACTGTGCACCACCAAATCTTTGTTGACCACAGGGAACGAACTAAGAAGTTGGTCCTTGCAGCTAGGACTGAGTATGTTAGTCATCAGATTACAGGCAGCGGCTCAAGCAAGGACTTATTTCGCATTGTGGGTCAGCTGACCGGTAAAAACAAGACTACATCTCTGCCAAATAACATTGCTGTAGAAGAGCTACCAGACGCTCTAAATTACTACCTTATTACAAAAGTTAAGAGGATCAGGGTGAAACGTGACAATTGCATCAATACTGCTCCAGAATTCTCACTCTTCAACGGCTCTTCTATGGGTGAATTTGTTGAGGTCAGTGAATTGAATGTGAGGAAAATCCTCGCTGATACCCCAAGAAAGTCATGTTCGCTTGACCCTCTTCCAGCAGGGCTCTTGTATGAATGTCTGGATGAAATAGTGCCCATCATCACTTATATCACAAATCAGTCCTTAGCTACTGGTATTGTTCCATCATCTTTTAAAGAAGCGATCGTCACTCCACTATTAAAGAAATCAAATCTTGACCCAAATGTGATGGAAAATTATCGCCCCATCTCAAATCTACCATTTATTTATAAAATCTTAGAAAAAGTCGTTCTCCGCCAAATCCTGGATCACCTCACTCAGTTTGACTTGTTTGAACCATTCCAGTCAGCATACAGGGCGCATCACTCTACTGAGACAGCCTTGTTGTGCGTCGTAAACGACCTTCTGTCGTCTTGTGATGAGGGCCAGGTATCCATTTTGTCTTTACTATATTTATCGGCAGCTTTCGATACGCTCGTCCACGGCATACTGCTCAAGCGTCTGCAACAAACGTTTGGTCTCACTGATACCGTCCTGCGTTGGTTCCGATCGTATCTGACTAATCGGTCCAGTCAGTTATTTTAAATGGTTTGACCTCGAAGAAATCTAATATTGAATTCGGAGTACCCCAGGGCTCGGTCCTAGGTCCGGTGCTTTTCACGATGTACATTCAGCCCCTGGGTGCAGATATCAGACACTTTGACATGTTGTATCACATGTTCGCGGACGATACACAACTTCATCAATCCGTGATCCGTTCTCAGTTCCCTCAGCTGCTCAGTATGCCACAGAAGACAATGGAGTCGGTTAAGCACTGGATGGCCATAAACAAGCTCAAATTAAATGATGATAAGACTGAGCTGCTCCCCATCGCCACCGCTCAGAAGCAAAAATCTGCAAATAACACGACATCCATTGCTCTCTCAGGTGTACGTATTGAGTTAGCTCAAACAGTGCGGTACCTGGGTGTCTACCTAGATAGAAGACTAACTTTTGAAAGTCATATTAACATGCTATGCAAGGCGATTTTTCTGGAGCTGCGCAGGATTAGTCACATCAGGCCCTTCCTAACAATTGATGCCACAAAGAGGCTGATGTCTGCATTTGTGCTATCACGCATGGACTATTGCAATGCTGTCATGGTGGGTCTTCCAGCTACGCTCCTGGATAAAATTCAAATAGCACAGAATAATGCGGCTCGCATTGCTCTCCGCAAACGCAAGTTTGACAATGCAAAAACACTTCTGAGAGAGTTGCACTGGCTGCCGGTGCGTGCTCGCATGGAGTACAAAATTGCAACTTTGTGCTACCGCTGCTTACATGACTTGGTGCCGTCCTATCTGAAAGAGCTGCTGACGCCTTATGTACCCACTAGACGACTCCGCTCATCCGATAGTGGTAAACTCTCGACACCACGTGTTTTCCTTGAGACTTACGGAAAGCGCACTTTCACATTTGCTGGTCCAACAATTTGGAACGCCCTTCCTGTCGATCTCAGAAACAACCAGACACTGGAGTCCTTTAAAACCGATTTAAAGACACATCTATTTCACAAACACCTTCTGGGATGATTGTCTACCTTATTTTCCAGTTAATGCATAATGGATGTGTTGCTTATGGTTGAAATGGCTAGAAAGACTTTGCCATTTTATGCTTGTAATTAGTTTTTGTAATGTTGCCTTTATTTTAAATGTGGTAAATTATAGATTTGTTGTTTTTTTGTTGACTTTGTACCGCGCTCCGAGCCTTTGGGGATGAAGCGTGTGTTTTTGAAATAAAATTTATTATTATTATTATTATTATTGTCTTTTCAAAATCCGGAGAATCCATACTTTGGTTGAAAAAATACTACCATAATGAAACTTTTATTAGACTGTTGTTGAAAACTTCGATAGATTATCCTAATTGGAGAATGAACATACACAATGTTGACACACATTGACAGATTGTCCAGTTGGAAGGTATGGAGTTAACTGTTGGGGAGAATGTGGACATTGCACTTCAGAATGCAACAAATCAACGGGAGAGTGCAGTGTGTGTGAACCTGGATGGCAGGAACCCATAACAAGCTGCGATACAGGTCAGAGGAGGGGTGAGGAGAGGAGTGTAGGATTGTAGGGTTAGGAGGGTATGGTGAGGAGGTAGGGTTAGGAGTGTATGGTGAGGAGGTAGGGATGGGAGGGTAGGGTGAGGATGGTAGGGTTAGGAGGGTATGGTGAGGAGGTAGGGTTAGGAGGGTAGGGTGAGGATGGTAGGGATGGGAGGGTATGGTGAGGAGGTAGAGTTAGGAGGGTAGGTTGAGGAAGTAGGGATGGGAGCGTAGGGTGAGGAGGTAGGGATGGAAGGGTAAGGTGAGGAGGTAGGGATATGAGGGTAGGGTGAGGAGGTAGGGATGGGATTGTATGGTGAGGAGGGAGGGATGGGAGGGGAGGGCGAGGAGGGAGGGTGGGAGGGTAGGGCGAGGAGGGAGGGGTAGGAGGGTAGGGTGAGGGGGGAGGGAGGAGGTAGGGTGGGAGGGTAGGGCGAGGAGGTAGGGATAGGAGGGTAGGGTGAGGAGGTAGGGATGGGAGGGTAGGGTGAGGATGGTAGGGATGGGAGGGTATGGTGAGGTGGTAGGAATGGGAGGGTAGGGTGAGGAGGTAGGGATGGGATGACAGAGTGTGGAGGATGGGAACAGGAAGGTGGATGAGGAGAGTAGAGGTAGGAGGGTTGGGTGGTAGAAATAGGATGGTGTAGCAATGTTTTAATATTGACTGTTTAACATGACAAATTGTGTTCGGGGTAAATTAATATAGTTTACCTAAATATTTAATATATTAAGATAGTGGTTAGGGGAGGTAATTAACGGCATGAACTTTGGGTTTTCTAACCTTTTTTAAAATAAATTTTCTTAAAATTAAAGCTATTAAAATTGCCTCTTGCACACTCAAGATTCAGTTGACAAACTTGGTCACAATGAACGACGCTTACTATTATCAACACATTTCTGTTTCTATCCACTAACTTCTGTTCCTATCCATTAATTTCTTTGTCTATCCACTAATTTTATACCTATTTAAAGATTTCTGTACCTATCCACTAATTTTATACCTATTTAAAGATTTCTGTACCTATCCACTAATTTTATACCTATTTAAAGATTTCTGTACCTATCCACTATTTCTGTATCATCCAATAATTTCTGTAACTTTCCACTATTTCTTTTTTCATCCACTAACTTCTGCATCTACTCACTAATTTATGTAACTATTCTCTAGTTTCTGTATCTATCCACTAATATTTGTATCCGTCCACTATTATCTGTATATATCTTCTTACTTCTGGATCTATCGACTTATTTCTGTGTCATCCACTAATTTTGTACCTATCCACTATTTCTGTATCATCCAGTAATTTATGTTTACTCATTTCTATATCTATTCACCAATTTATGTAATTATTCTCTAGTTTCTGTAGGCCTATCTTTTCACTAATCTATGTATTTAACAACTAATCTCTGTACTGTATATATCTTCTTAATGATGTATGAATCGACTCATTTCTGTATCTATCCACTAACTGTTTACCTATCGATTAATTTCTGCACCTATTCACTAATCTCTGTATCTATCAAATATTTTCTGTATCGATCCCTTTATTTCTGTATTTTACGACTCATTTCTGTATCTATCCAATAATTTTTTTACCTATCCACTAATTTCTGTAGATTAAATCCCCTCAGAATGTCCAAAGTGGTCGTATGGCAGTAACTGTTCAAATCTCTGTGAGATAAAATGTGGTGGCTTAGATTGCATTGATCGGGTCAATGGACAGTGTCCAGGTAGGTGAGTTTTGGGAGGGGGGAGGAGGTCACAAGTTAAGGACAAGACCTAGATTAGACCATTGTCAAACCAAATATAACTTCATGACTTCAATCACGAAATCAATTATTAAAGCTGCTTGATCCAGATTACCAATAAAGAGAACCTCTTTATTGAAAGCTGCTTTATCCAGATCACAAACAGAGAGAACACCTTTATTGAAAGTATTTCAAAGTTTAGTTTATTTGTGTATCTCGAAATGTCCTTAAATCTCAAAGCGAAAAGATGTCGTTGCTTTACTTTATAGCGCACACATTTCAAAAATGTTGACACATGTTTTTTATAAGATGCACACAAATATAATATATCCCTAATCAAAACAGCTATAATGATAATATAACGTTAAACTGGCCATTTTTTCACAGAGAAGGCGGACATATTGTCCTACTTACTAGTCCTCATACTCATACCGTTCATAATTGTCATCGTGTTCCTAGTTGCAAGGTATGTTCATATGAATGTTGCTATTTGTTCATTCCGTGGGTATCATAAGCTCATTTCGTCATATGGGTAATACATACGTTTATATCGTAGATAATATACATTAATTTAGTTGGAACTTCAAGTGATTTTTTTAGTTATCATTAATGAGTAATATGAATTCATTCAGGTGTACAATACGCTCATTTTTATGGGTACTTTACTTGAATTAATTAATATTATAATGTACATTTCATTGGTAAAATAATTTCATGTCGTTCATTTCACGGGTAATAAGCCCTAATTTGATAGGCTGACCTAAGAAAGGCTGTATGTTAATTTTAAAGGCTGACCTAATATAGACTGTATGGTCATTTTAAAGGCTGACCTAAGATCGACTATATGTTAATTTTAAAGGCTGACCTAAAATAGACTGTATGTTGATTTGTTTTCCCTCTATAGCACAGTTATAAAAACTGTTATCTTACTTACAGACGATGTTATGACACTCACAGTCAGTAACACAAAAACAAAATAAGTGACAAGACAAATTAAGTAACAGTTAAGTCATACGACAAAATAATATATGTGACATAACAATAAGTCATGTAACACAACAATAAGTTATGTGACACAACGATATATCATGTCAATTAATTGTAAGTCATGATACACAACGATAAGGCATGTGACACAAAATAAGTCATGTGACGCAAAAGTAAGTCATGAACAGAACACCATATGACATATGTAGACATGTGAAAAAACAAATGATGTGACTGTTCCCGTTAATCTTTTGTCTTTGACTTCCAGTCCCAGAAAAAGGCAGTCCTACAGGTCAAGTGACTACCTGACCAGGACAGGGAAGATCAAGAGGTGGAAGAAGCAGCTCCAACACTCCAGGTCTCGCTACGGTCAGCAGGCGCGTGACATACATCACGTCACCAAACAGTTGCGTCACGAGGGCGGTATCAGTCCGAGCAGTGGTCAATCTGGTGACTGGTCAACCCAGGTTTTGGTCAGCCCAGGTACCAGTCGATCTGTCAAGATTTCAACGCAAGGACTGGGGAATCCAGAAACCGAGCAGTCAGATGACTGGTCAGCTCATAGACAAGTCCATTCATGATCTACTCTCCACCAGACCTAAAGTCAGTCTAAACGGCTCGGAGCTCCACTAAAAGAAATTAAAAGATTCATTCTCAACAAACAATTGTTCATTATTTGTTTTATTTACTGGGGTTTCCTTTTTTTAATTTGTTTTACAAACTTTTCAGTTTAGTGGGCCTGTGGATAGTTTCCCATTGCACCAGGGACCGTGCCAGATTTAGTAAATATATAATTTTTACCTTAAATGTCATTTTTTTAATTCATAATTTTTTTTTTTAAATCTGCTAATGAACGATGAAATAGCAACACAAGGCAGTCCTTTATTTATTATAATGAGAGATGAGGACACTATGATATTTATAAACTATTATTGACATTTGATATTAGTTATATTTTTCTTTTGGCAATTTAAAAAAACAACAACTTTTAGCCAGTTTATTATCCCATGATGTGCAGACAGACAACGGAAGTCTTGTGGACCAGTGTCGGTCTGTGGACAACGACTTTGGGCAACTCTTATCATTTAATTCACTTCCCTGGCCTCTCCTTCCATTCCTCACCCTCTCTACCATCTTCAGCAACTCAAACGACCATGGCCCGCCCGCCCTCTAATACTGTACACTCTGGTCTCACCTCTAGCCCCAGTCTTCCTTAACAAATTACAAAACCTTTCAATATTTCAATAGGATTCGATATTTCATAGAATTTCAGTTTAGCAAATATCCCACAAACCCCACATCTCCATCTACTTTCTCAACCGTAACACCTTGCACTTTTACTGTATAACCCTTGGACAACTCCCCCTCGTCCCACCCAGTCCAGATGTTGCTGCCAGACAGCCTAGTTGTATGAAATGTGAAGTTGAAGAGTTCTGTTTGCTCTGATGACCATTAGCTCATTTCACAAGTACCCAGTTTTCCCAAAATAGTTTTAGGGATATCGACTACATTTTTTAAATCATGCAAAAATAATAATAATAATTCATCTCAAACACATAAAACAACTGTGTGAAATTTGATGCACTTAAACTTAAACACAAGTTATTTTGATCAGGTAACTTTAATGAGTTAGTCAAAAACAAAAAATTAATCACTAAAAAACACATAGTGGTTACACACAGGACTAAATTAATGTCAAGGCCACTAGCTAATGGTGGGGTCAAAGCTCGTCATGTTCCTTGGTACCATTACATTTTGCCTGACAAATTTTCTCCTCAAGTCCAAACTCTGGTCCCACTTGGTAACGCTCAAAAAATGTTTCCTCATTTTTCTCCACCAATTCCTTACAGAGGGTCTTCATACTTTGAGATAGAAATATGGAATACATGAGAGAGATGTAGAATGTAAGAGAAATGCATCATTTATAAATATTGAGAAATACAATAGAGATGTAAAATCTTGACATCAATGTGCTGTATTTTAAATAATTTTTTTTGAATGGAAACAAGAGTAAAAATGAATAATTATGGAGAAAACATAAATGCCGACTAATTGAACTTTAATACAGACAGACAATACATAAACAAACCGAAAGACTGCAATTGAAAACAAACAGGTAAATATACAGACAAAATTACATAGCAGATTTCGATATTTACTCTTCAACTTTTTTGTCACAAATTTTGTAACTGAGTTCTGTGACCTCATCCTCCCCAAGATGTCTGCCGTATCTTTTGCGTTTATCGGCGCTGGTCATGCCCTTCTCTAGCTGCATGGAAAAAAAAACATATAATAGATGCAATGTCACATATACAGGAGAGCCACTCCCATACAATGCGCAGATATATATCGGTAATCGTAACCCGTTTAGAAACATACTTCGGTAATCTTGAAATGTTTGCATAAATATTCCCGTATTCTAACCATTTAGCCACCTCTTTGCACTGCTTAGATACGTTGGTGATCTTACCTTTTTAGCCACCTCTTTGCACTGCTTACAGAGATGCGCCTTGAACACGTCCTCAAACGTCTCGTCCTCTGAGCTTGGCATCAACATCCTGGTCTCCATGGTTTGCTGCTGCTGACAGGTGTCTGACTTCCGGGCATACTTCTGTCGGGTCTTTTGCATCTCTTTCTGCAACATGTCCTCCATCTTCTTCCAGTCTTCTTTCTCTACATACCATATAAGATTTTCGTTTAGAAATTTGAGAGAAAAATAAATACAAAGGCAAAGATAATCTGCTTAGGTCTGTCAGTCTCTGGGTACCTACAGCAACAGTTTCCAAAATCAAAGTGATCCACACTAGAAAAACATAGAATTTCAGAAAGCACGAACAGTTTTTTATTTTATTTTATATTTAAAAAATTGACTATCATGCTCTCCTCTGATGTTTCCCCACCCTGATTGCTGTGCCGCTCTGATGGCAGTGCAATTCTGATGATTGTACCCTTTTGATGGCTGTACTCAGGGGCCAAAAAGTATTGTTCTAGACATGGGCGCCCGCAGAAAAAATTTCTAGGGGTGAGGGGCAAAAAAAATCGATTAACTTTCCAGGGGGGCAAAAAATGTTTAGTAATATTTTAATTTTAATATAGTTTTAATTTACTGGAGCGTATGCCGTATGTGTATGGTAAACGAATGGACAGGACATCAGCTTAGTTACTTTCTCTTTATTTTCTCTTTACTTTAATACATTTTTTGTCTATTTTTGTCTAAAATTTTTTTATCCAATCAATGCAGGGGGGGGGGGGCAAGTGCCCCCCCCCCCCCCCCCCCCCCCCGCCCCCCCCCGGATCTAGAACCAGATTTTTCAGGCCTAATGTTACTTTTCAAATGCAAATAGCGGGAGAGCCATGCCCTGCAGCCTTAGTGTCATGGCAAAGAATAGGTCACTATTATTTCTCATTAAAATGAAAGAAAGAAATGGAATAGAAACATAACATTTCAAGACTATTTATTTAGTGAAAATTAAAACACATTTTTTTATCTTTTATTAACGAGATGCATTATTCTACTTAAACAAATGTTTCAATAGAAACGATTGCTAACACACGGTAGCTATTTAAAAAGCTGGATAAAAAATGGGTAGAGATTTTGTCTTCATCTAGAGTTGTAAGACCGAAGAGCATTTAGCAGTTTCTACACGACGAAATGTGTCAGACCATGTTAGGAAATAAAAGATTACATTTACTCATTTAGATTTGCCATGACGATGATACATTCATACCCTGCTCCGTCATTGAGTCTTTACTCCGGCCAGCTGTCGTCAGACAAGGTTCAAGCAGAAGTAAGCATGGGATGTAAATCATTAGAAATACGGCCATTTTCAAAGTTGCTATGTTGTTAGAAATTCTAACCTTGGGGATTCGACATGGATCGACAGAACTTCCGGTTCATGACAAAGCTATGACGGTTTCTTAACCATGTCCCTCATGGTGCGCACCAAAGAGCATCCATCTTTTTAAATTATACACAATTACTAAAATGTCAACAGTTGATATTTATTTGACATACCAAATAAGAGGCCATCCAGAACATATGGATGTTATGTTGCACAGTCATGGTATGGTCATCTCTGGATTAACACAGGGCCGGCGCTAGGAGAGTGGGGGGGGGGGGTCCTCGGGCAAATTGAATTTTGCGGGGCCGTTGACGTTATATTTATATTTCGCCGATATGATATTAACACGTGGGTCGAACTGGGGCCTTGTTGGTCATAATGGGACGCGTCATAACTATCTTATAACTCCGAATATTGTGTTGAATGGATTTGGAACTATTAGTAGGCTTAGGTATATTATAAATATACTACGGCAACGCACGGGGCACTTCACCATCTCCAAGCGCCGGCCCTGATTAAATTATCAATGGAGAGCACATATTAATAAAGGTNTATAAAAAGGGGGGAAAAGCATTAAAATATAAAACAAAAACATTGTTATTTTATTACAAGAAAAGGCGGGGGGTACTTCAGGGACGTTTTTTTGGGGAGGGCAGGGGGGAGCATACTCCCCCCCCCCCCCCGAATTTGCAGGTTTAAAAAAAAATTGCGATAGACTGTGGTGCCTCCACAACATAAACAATTTAACAAGCCGAACGAGTTTTATTTTTGCCCCCTCCCTGAAAAAAACCCTGAAAGGACGCCCCTGGCGTACTTAAACTTTTCATGTACCCCGGGGGACTAGCTCTCAATCTCAAAACTATGCTCTCTAACACACACACTTTATTATGTCACGTGATATACACAGCGTAGGAAGAACAGTAGCACTTTTTTTTTGTTGAAAAAAGGAGGGGGGGGGGTCATGGACCATTTTTAAAAAATTCGTTAATTTTATTAAGCATTTTTTAAATGTATTTTGTATGTATTAGTGTTTTTCTTAAGTCAGGGGCGCCAAAGTCAAGTATGATTCCGGGTGTCACAAACTCTAGTTCCTCTATATGTAGACTTAGACCTAGACCTCAAAAGTGCAAAAGTGCTACCCTGGAAATGCCCCCCTTCAAATACATTAGGTGTCTCCACTGGTAAACCGTAAGTATAAAAAGATCTTTCGATGCAAGCCATTTCTAATGCCTCAACCCAAGACCACAACAATTTTTAGTCTTTATCGGTGCGGTCATTCCTTTCAAACCTGGTGGGGCATTAAATGGTGGGCAGCAAAAATAAAAAAAGGGATTAAAAGTGACTTGCCCTTTTGTTGCGATATAAATGTTTGTATAGTTTGACTATTCTTCATAAAATTTTTAAATGTATCTTATATCAGGTAACTAACTAACTAAGTAGTACGGTTCTCTTGAATTCTTGGTGTGTAAAAATAAAATGAAGTCCATTTTTTTTCTTTTTTTTAAAATTTAAATGAATGCAACGTTATTTTTGTAAAACAGTTCGCTTGGGGTGAAAACTTAGTCGACCAATTTTTAGGGGGGGGGGGCGTGCAGAATTTAGGAAATGTTTGGAAACACTGTTCATTTATTGATTTTTTCCTTATGATTTATTAAGTGTACGTTTTATAATTGTATTAAAAAAAAAAAGAAAACCAATAATGGGGTGAAAACTTAGTCGACCAATTTTTAGGGGGGGGGGGGCGTGCAGAATTTAGGAAATGTTTGGAAACACTGTTCATTTATTGATTTTTTCCTTATGATTTATTAAGTGTACGTTTTATAATTGTATTAAAAAAAAAACGTAAGCCAATATTATCAAAATATATCTCACACATGCGAGAGCTCCCTCAAAATGGCAGCCAAAACAAAGTGAATGTAAAATGTTAGGAATCATAGCTCAGAATTTCTTTCAACAAGCTTATCGATGGCCACAGAAATAAATAAATAATTTCAGCCATCCTGTCTAGAAGAAGTAGAAGGTAGCCTTAAATTTTAACTAATAGATTATTTAACGACTGTATCACCATATTTTCTGTAGCCGTAGCCTCTACCTCTGAGTCAGAGTTAACAATAACATTGATGATTGAATCATTAACATTGTTTTGTAAATTAACTTAAGGCTAATTTGGAGAGATGTCGCCATGACGTCACTTGCGTCTTTATTATAACGAAGTGGCTATTCGTACTCGGGTACCAGAAGTGAGAGGTTGGGATTAAAAAACTGTTAAAAATTTTATTGTTGGGTTTGTAAGACAAAAGTGAGGTATCAAATGAAAGATAATTGAACGGACTATATGTTTGTAAATATAATTCTTCAGTTTAACTAAAATAAACAACCACAAATAACATCCGAATAGCTTGAGTCTAATGGTACCCTGGTGCGAATGGTGGCGCTGCGTGTCCTGGTCCATTTTGACTCATGTCAAAATGTGAGCGACATCTCTCCAAATTTACCGAAATTTCCATTTGTTCGGACAGATATGCATTACAGTACAGTTTATCCATTTTAAAAAATAAAATAGTGGTACTAAAGTGAATAATTTTTGCCCTGGAAATCAATAGTCAAGCCCAAAATGGTTCACTAGACTAGACATCAAAAATGGAAAGTGTGCTATTTTTAATTTTTTTAATAATCTTGCCGGAAGTGGTTCTTGAGCACTTTCAATTTTAATGATATTATATAGAAAAAACTTATAATAGCTTTGCCATCTTTACAAATCTTCATAAAAGTTGGCATTATTATCATTACGGAATGAATAAGCTTAAAATTATGTACAGGTATAAAATATATGTGTCAATTAAAATTATTTCAATTAAAATTGGAAAAGGTTATGAAATTTTTTGGCTTTGACCTTTTATTAAAATTAAAAGATTTACTTTGTGTTTATTAATGATTACAACTATAAAAAGAAATTATACCATTTATAAAATCAGAAATTAAATACTGTGTACCAAAATATAGGCTTTTAAATTTGAAAATTAATTATAGCCCACTATTTAAAAAAAAGTTATTAACTGCCTATATTTTATATATAGGCCTAATACTAAACCTTTAAGTACTTACTTACAGCCCTATTTCAAATTTAAGTTAGTAAAGTATTTTAATTTCAATAAGGTATTTAATTTTAAAGGAATGGTACTCCTCAGAAGGCGGTCCCAAATTAAATATAGAATTCTAATCATCAGAAAGTGTCAGGCTACCAGCCTAATAGCCATCGATAATTGATGATGTATTTGTTAAAGTCTAATGCTCTACTTAAATTTATTCTTTGTGCGATCTTCAACAGCCTCTTCATCATCATCATGTCCTGAAAAAAAAATTTTTTTTTAAAAGAAGAAAATTATTCAACTCTAGGATATATTTAAACATGTGTATGTTAATCAGCTATAAGTGCTCAGATGTATTTAAACAACCCTTGGATGTATGTTGAGGTAATTAAATTGTCATTATTCATTAGCATATTCAGTCATTCATCAACACAACTGATGTTTAATTTCCTGTTTATGAAATGAATGCAATATTTTAAAATGTTTGAGCTCAATTATTTATTTATTTTAACCCTCACTAATGACTCTCATTTGAAAAGTGCACCAAGGTGCCACCAGCATTGTCCAGGAATGAACAGCCGGGGCAAGAAGGTGGACCTGACTATGTGTGACACAAGCACTTCTCCAAACAGTGAAGCATCACTTGTGGGTGAGGACCTCTTCCAAGATGAAGCCCGGGCTTCCAGTCTGCTGGCAGGTAATAACTTTTACTACCCTTTAAATGAAATCAATAGGGCGATAGCTATGATCATTTACTAATGAAATCATATTTACAACAAACCATTACAATAGGTATGGAATTAGGGGAAGGGGATTTTTTGTTTTTTAAATTGTGATTAGCAAGGTATGGTACAGTATTTTTTATTTATACTTTGAATGTACTAATGTATTCTATCAAATTTTTTATTTTTGTGGAAGATAATTCCTTTTTCCTTTAAATCATTTCACTCATAGCCCTCCATTTTAGTTTTGTTGTTTGACCAATCAGTTTACAAAATCACTTATTCCACTTATACAGGATTCTCTCAGCTGTACATGAACAAACAGTTTGTGGATGTTTCCCTGCGTGCGGAGATGACAGAGTTCCCATGTCACAAAAATGTGCTGGCCGCCTCAAGTCCTTACTTTCTTGTCATGTTTTCTACCAGTCTTGCGGAGGGCCAACAAGACTGTATAACTCTTCAGGACATGGAGGCTAAAACACTTCAACTTATCTTGGAATACATTTACAATGGACAGGTAATTGCTACTACAAATTACAATTGACATGTAATCCTCTACCCCGTACGCAATCAGCAAGGTGAGTCCTAAAAAACTAGTTACTATGAACAGATAAATTTCAGTACTAGTTTTAATAGTTAGTACATTTTTAACCACACTTAACAACTGAAGGTTCCTTGAACCTAATTATTAAAGGATTCGACTGCGATAAAGGTTTTAAGTAGAATAATGAGACATAAACTATTTGTGTAAGTAAAACAATATATGTTAAGCTTTAATTATGATCAGACAAAATACTAGTTCAAACATTATAACAAAGGCCTTCAATCAGTACAGCAAAAAACTTTATTATTATTTTAAATTAAATCTATATAATTTGTATATCATACCTATACCTTAAAATGATAGAAAAGAATAGGAATGAGCACATGTCCCTGCCGAAAACAAAGATCAGTAGATCTGATTTTTGTTACCAATATAACTGGGTTAAAACCTTTCTTGTATGAATTCTGCAGGTGAGTCTGACGGAAGACACTGTCCAGAATCTTCTGTCTGCAGCTAATCTCTTCCAGCTTATTCCTCTACGTGACGGCTGTGCTGAGTTTATGATGAATCATGTGACAGTCGCCAACTGCATTGGGGTGTTCTTCTTTGCTAAAGCTCATCAGTGCAATGTTCTAGCTCTTAAAGCCAAAGAAATCATCAACAACAAGGTTTGTGCTTACATTTTTGTTAGAGAAGAAATCATCAACAACAAGGTTTGTTCTTACAGTGGTCAGTGCAGAAATCATCAACAAAATGGTTTATGCTTACATTCTTGCCAGTGAAGAAATCAACAACAAGGTTTGTTCTTACATTCTTGCCGGTGAAGAAATCATCAACAACAAGGTTTGTGCTTACATTCTTGCCGGTGAAGAAATCATCAACAACAAGGTTTGTTCTTACATTCTTGCCGGTGAAGAAATCATCAACAACAAGGTTTGTGCTTACATTCTTGCCGGTGACTATTTTTTTATTAGATGAACAACTGTTTAAAAAACAAGAATCACCCAAAGAGCAAATCTGACCGATTTTGTTTCAAGACAAATAAGTTCACAATAATACAGGAATATTTGTTTAAAATGAGTACAGGACTCTTATTGAATATGTTCATTCAAAATATTAGTGGGTAGGTGTTTCTCGTCAAAGACTTGGTATCCCCTGAAATATGTTGGTTTTTAGAACTTAGAATTGAAATCGCATTTGTTAACATTTTCAAAGCGTGAAATTTTAACAATATAAATCACAATATCACCACATACCTGAGTGTCTTTATTTTGTTGTTGGCTGATATTTTTCAAATATTAAAAGGCCTCCATCAGATCCGATGGTCACTAATTAGTCTCCTGTCCACTATTGAAAAGTCTGACAATTCATTATGATAAAGCGCCCCAGCCAAACATGCCTAACATTTTACTTAATGTTGGTGACCATTCACCTGTGTTTATAAACTGATTATTAATTAATAAATAATTAATTTTTTTAAATTTTGAGTTAAAAAAATGTCAGTCCAAAGTTATAAAAACAACTGTTAAATGTTTAGAAACAACATTCCAAGCCTGGAAAATGCACACAAAATAAAGTCTATTTTAACCATTCACATTTACTGCACTAATCAACTGGGAATTTCATCATGCTACACGCATCTTCTGCTTGTTATTATAGATAATTGAAGTCTCAAAAACTCTTTTAAACTAAACATGATTACATTTTTTATTTCATCATTCAAACCTTATTTTATTTTGATCATTCAAACAGTTTCCCCTACTGTGCAAGCAACAAGAATTTCTGTGTCTTCCTGTCGACAAACTCATCGAGATTGTCAGCGATGATGATCTGAACGTGACCATGGAAGAAACGGTGTATGAGGCTTGCATGGCTTGGGTCAATGAAGACCCGGACACAAGGAAACTAAGTCTTGTAGAGGTATATCATGTCTGGGATTGTAGATTTGAAATTCTGATAATAATCCACTTTGAAAATGATAATTGATTAAATGATTTTTATTTTACAGGCTGATTTTAAAATGTTTCGTTTATATCATTGTAATAGTGATGGTAATAAAAGTCCCATTATTTAAAAAAAAAATTGTCATGAATGTATTTTTTAAAAATCAATAAAGAGTGTAAATTAGGTTATAGTTAGTTATTCCCATTCTCATATAAAGGACCATTTCCCCAAAAATATGAACTTTCAACTTTTAATTCGATTCGCTGCTTTCAGCCAATTAAAACTGACAATTAGTCTAAGGTTTGTTTTACAGAAAGTGCATCCTCCCTTCTGATTTCTCTCACCTGCTCTCTCCCTTCTGTTTTCTCTTCCCTGCTTTCTCCCTTCTGATTTCTCTCACCTACATTCTCCCTTCTGTTTCTCTTGCCTGCATTCTACCTTTTGTTTCTCTCATCTGCATTCTTCGTTCTGTTTTCTTTCACCTGCATCCTCTCTTCTTTTTCATCAGCTGGATTTTCTTACCTTGATTATCTCACCTGCTTTCTCCAATATTTTTCACATCTATTCAGGTCATGAACTGTGTGCGTTTTGCCAACATCAGCTCATATTACTATTGTGATAAAATTGACACCAATCCGCTGTTACGTGAAAATGAGGAACTCAAAACTTTGCTGGATACCATACGCTGCTATCATATGTTAAAGGTGAGTATTTAAAAATTATATTAAATATTAGGTATGTAGCCTTTATTTATCTAATATTTAAAATTAAGAATTAACTATGCAAGCCCTTATTGACTGAAAGATATTCCCCCACTTTCCAATAAATATTTAACTGTAACTTCGTATCGCAGAATCGGCAGCAGGAAATGGATGTTAAGATGATGCCTCGTCGTGGTATGGTCTACGAGCGTGGGGTCATGATAATTGCCAACCCATACACAGAGGATGTCTTGAAAAAGTACAACAGCATGGAGATGTTGTTACCCAAGACAGGGGAGGTTATCCATATTTGTAAACTGCCGCAAAGCCTCTATACACCAGGTGCTCTTGGACTTACCTCCCCAAAAAGGAAATATTTATTTTAAAAAAAAATCAGCTGGCTCTTTAAATAGAAAAAAAAATTAAAGTTGAAGAATTTAGTTGGGGATCTTATTTATTGTTTTTTAAGTCACTTCTAAATCTTGTTGATGGTCAATAATAAATCTTTGGTATGTGGATAAATGACTATTAGTGAAGCTTTATGAAACAAAAAGAAAAAATGAATTGTTAACATATTAGAACATTCCTTTTTTTTTAATCCTTACTTAATCAACAATTGTCATAATGGCTGATAGTGGTCATTATGGCTGCTTCTGTGGTGTTATGGCAGATATAATTGGCTTCTACTAAAATTAATATAAAATATAATGAGATCCTTATTGATCAAAATAAATGGATTCTTTTTTTTTTTTTACATTGTACATATTCATTTTCAGCACATAAATAAGTGCATTATTTTATCAAGACATTTTACAATTAAAACAATTTGAACACAAGAAATCCAAAGTATTTCAATGAACTCCTTTAGGTACTAAAATGACTTAATTCGTTATCATTTAAATATTTCTTGTGTTCATTTTTTTTTTTAAATTTTCAACCTAGCTGGAAATTTTTAGATGTTTGTTGTTAAAACTAGCTTGTAGAATTTATTTGAATTATTTCTTTATGAAAGTGATGTTGAAGATAGTTTTGTTGGCACTACTCATGGGAGTGAATTACAACAGTGGGGCTAGCAATACTAGCAGTTTAAGTTCTAATAGTGAAAGTAGTGACAGTAGGGGACTTCTGAATTTAATTAATTTAATAGGATTATGTTAACAGATGTAGGTCACCAAAGAATTTTTTTAAAAACATTTCTATAAAACAAAATAACTTTATGTTTTCTAAAAAGAAAAATAATGTCATGGGTCTGCAAAAAATTCTTTAGATGAAAGAAATATCAGACTTTCAGTGAGGTTGTGAGTTGAAGAAAGATAAACAGTTGCACTCACTGTTGACAGGTCAAGGTCATATTCATTTCACCTAGATCACAAAAATAAACTTGGTGAACGCTCCTTCTACTTCCATTGTTCCATGCGCCCACGTTCTGGAACCAGCTCCCCTTCCACATCCGTCATTGTGAAACCTCGTCCACTTTCAAAAAGTCCCTTAAAACCCATCTGTTTAGGTCTGGGTAATGACCTGTGATGCACCCTCCTTGCCCTGCCTCATTTTCTGTCTCGGGTTGATCCTATAGTATAGGCCAAAACGTGCCAAAGTGTACTCGTTTTTATAGCCATTATAATGTTTAAGCTACTGTTTCTATAGTCACTTTTCACATTGCAGTTACTATTCTAGTGTCTCTGGTTTTTCATTTTTATTTTACTTTAGCATAAATAGCATTCATATTTTTAATAATTGTAAAGCGCCGTAAGGTAAGCGCTATTTAAAAATGCATAGATAAATAAATAAATAAATTTAAACATTCATTCTACATGATTCCTTGTCCACTTTAATATCAAAATAGCTATACTCATTTGGAACTCTGGATTCATTTTATTTTATTTTTATGATACATATCAAAGTTACCAAAAAAGAGTTGACACCACATGATGTCGCATTTGACAGTTTGTGGGTTAATATTAAAATATTTAAGCGTTCACAACTTTAATTTTCACTAAATAATTTCATTGAGCAGGTGTCGCTTCAACTGGCGACAACCAGATCTATCTGGCTGGGGGTGCGATAAGGAAGATAAACTACAGAGGGTCAATTACAACAGAGGGCGTGTCCAACCATGTCTACGTGTTTGATCAAAGTGAGGCAACGTGGCAGCCCAAGGCCAAGATGCACATGTCACGGTCACAGTTCTGCTTAATTATAGTGGATGGGTGAGCACTCTTCTTTGATTTTGTTTTACTGAGTTATATAAGTTATATCGATTATTTATCCTTGTTGATACCTTGGATTATGTTTTCACTTGTTGATAATGTGGCTTGATAATGCTAGTTGATTATATAGGTTTAATTTGCTTGTAGATTATATGGGATATGTTTGCTTGTTTATTATATGGATTGATAATGCTAGGTGATAACATTTTAAAGGTTCAATTAAAAAGTTTTTTTTTTTTTTTTATTTAGTAAAGGCCAAATATTGGGGGAAAAATTTGGGGACCCTCTCAAGATGTACTATCAGCCACCTTACTTAAGGTTAATAGGATATGTTTGCTTGTTTATTATATGGATTGATAATGCTAGGTGATAACATTTTAAAGGTTCAATTAAAAAGTTTTTTTTTTTTTTTTTTTTTTTTAGTAAAGGCCAAATATTGGGGGAAAAATTTGGGGACCCTCTCAAGATGTACTATCAGCCACATTACTTAAGCTTAATACGGTACACTACACTATGCTACACTTTCTGTTTCAGATCACATAAATATGTTGTTTTTTTGTCATATTTATTTGTCTAATACAGGTTTGTTTATGCTGTTGGGGGACAGGATGGTAGTGAGATCCTGATGACAATGGAACGCTACGACCCTCACACCAACACATGGACGATGGTCCACTCTCTGCCTCGTCCACTACGTTTTATGACGGGGGTCAGCTACCGAGGCAAGTTGTATATTTTTGGTGGTGAGACCAAAACTGATGTGACTAATGGTGCTTTAAGGTATGTCATGGTGAAACTTGGCTGGTTTGTGAGGCACTGTTTACATAACTTGGCTGGTTTGTGAGGCACTGTTTACATAACTTGACTGGTTTGTGAGGCACTGTTTACATAACTTGACTGGTTTGTGAGGCACTGTTTACATAACTTGGCTGATTTGTGAGGCCCTATGTTAGTACCACCTGAACTATGTTTCATATCTGAACATTTGTTTCCCTAGATATAATCCACAAGAAGATTCCTGGACAGAACTTCCACCAATGAAAACTCCTCGTGTTTTAGCTGGGAGTGTTGTCTTCAAAGATAAAATCTACATCATAGGTGAATCAGTCTAACATATGATTTATTAACTTATAGGGCGTAATCCTAACATATGATTTATAAACTTGTAGGGGTAATCCTAACATATGATTTATAAACTTGTAGGGGCAATCCTAACATATGATTTATAAACTTGTGTGTGTAATCCTAACATATGATTTATAAACTTGTAGAGGTAATCCTAACTGTTTACTAAACATTAATTATAAAATTTTAGAGGTTAATACTCACATATGATTCATACATTTTTAGGTGGTAATGCAGCCCTTAGTGAAAAATGGAAAAAAGAATACCTTCCAGAACATTGTGTTTCATCTGTGGAAATATTTGACCCTGCAACATTAACATGGTCTGAAGGGCCCCCTCTGGCTAATGCATTGTGTGGCGCAGGTAAGAATGGGCACCCTCTGGCTAATGCATTGTGTGGTGCAGGTAAGAATGAGCCCCCTCTGGCTAATGCATTGTGTGGTGCAGGTAAGAATGGGCCCCCTCTGGCTAATGCATTGTTTGGCGCAGGTAAGAATGAGCCCCCTCTGGCTAATGCATTGTGTGGTGCAGGTAAGAATGAGCCCCCTCTGGCTAATGCATTGTGTGGTGCAGGTAAGAATGAGCCCCCTTTTGTAAAATTACCTTGTTTGGTGCAAATAGGATTGGGCCACCTCTCATCAAATAATCTGTTTTGTGCTCGTTGGATTTAGCCAGCTGTGGTCAAATAATCTTTCTTTTTTTTTCCTATACTGAGGACCCACAATCAATGTATTGATCATTCTGGCTCCTGGTTTGAATTCAGAGTTTTTGCCTTGTCTTAGATAAGTTGCCTTTCAAGATTAACGAGTCCCATCCACCCGGTGGCTTGGGATGTTTTTGCTTTTCTTGGCTTTAGTGGGGATTGAACTTCAGACCACCAGCTATTTGGATTGAGTCAGTTTAGACCGCTCAGCCACCTAGCTGTGCAAGTAGGATTAGGCCACATCTAGACAAATAATCTGATATGAGGCTTATTTAAGATAAGGCTCCTTCGCCAATGGCTAGGGCTGTGCTTGAGATGGGATATAGAAAGCCGCCAAATATTTTGTGTGGTGCACATAATGTGACAACCCCCACCCCCCCGGTGAATTATCTTTTGATATGCATCTTGTTTGCTGTTGGTGCATTAGCGCTATCAAGGTCTGACAGATTTTGGGCTATTGGTTACTTGTGTGCCTTCAAACTAATGGAGTTATCAGAGCAGTTCGTTAAAATCTAAATCTTGTGTGAATAATTAAAAATTATTTTACAAAATTAACCATGTATTTATTGTTATCATAATTTTAATGGCTTATTAATTAGTAGGACTTCACTTATTGGATAGTCAAAAGTATATTGATACAATTATTTTCAAATATCAAATATTGTGATACAATTATTTTAAATGTGGCAATGTGCCACATAAATATCAAATTGTAATACTTCTTTTATTTATGCTTAGCCTTTTTTCCTTATTTTAGCTGTTGTCAAGTATGGGGACACTATCCTTGTCGTTGGAGGTGAAGATGATCGCAGTTGGATGGCCGGAATTTGCTGGCTGAAACAGGATGGACAGAAGGAGACCTGGGTATGGTCAGAGGGCCAGGAACTTCCCACAGTGATGTCAACATTTGGCTGTGTCGTGGCCAACATCCCTCATGAAGTTTTAAAGCAGCAGTGATAGTCAACATGGCCAAGAAAATTGTCCACACTAGTTGAAAATGTCCAGTGATTCTCAGCAAAGGCCAATGTAGGCTAACTTACTGAGATTGAATCTCACTTCTTCTTCTTCTTGTGGTCCAATCCCTACTAAACAATGTTCTCGCTTATATTGGTTGTGATTTTTCTTAAAAAATGGCAGATTTATATTGAGTCTTTATGTGAGAGTTATTCTAATTGAGAGTTATCAGGTCTTTATGAGCGATTTATTGTGACTGTATGTGAGAGTTTTTAAGAATGTATGTGCGAGTTATTATATTTGAATGAGAGAGCTATTGTGATTAAATTAAAGGCTGTAAAATCTATTGCGGCTGATCAAATATTTTTGCATAAGACCAATGCATATATTTTTGACAAAGAAAAGAATATTTATATAGTTTTTGTCCAACCTACATAGAGCACATGTTTCTATGCCTAACACATATTGTGAATGTTTCATTTATACCCTATCATTTTAAGTGCCATTTTTTTCCATATCATTTTAAGTGTCATTTATTCCTATCATTTTTTAAAGTAATGAAGATTTGTTAATTCTGTTCATTTTTTGCCTTATTTATAATATTTTCAAATTTGTTCATAGTTTGTTTACCAAATGTATTATGTTTATCAAGTTGATCACCCCTTCTGAACGTAGAAAAATTTGTAGAATATAATTTATGTCTTTAAATTTTGCCTTCAATTTGGTCAAACACAACTTATTCACATTTTTTTTCTTAAACCTCTCTTACTGAAAGTGAAAGCATGAAAATATCATTTTTGATTAATTAAAAAAAATTACTGTACTTACCGGCGTATAACACGCACCTCATTTTAAGAAGGAAATTTCAAGGAAAAAAACTTAACATTATATCGACATACAACATGCACACATCATTTGCCCCCTATTTTCAGGGAGAAAAAGTGTGCGTTATACGCCGATAAATATGGTAATTTGTTGTATATGGTTGTAAGGCAATAAATTTGACCACCAGGCCTCTACATAAGATTGTTTCTCATAATGCAAGATCTGAGCATTGATAATATCTTTACAAACAAATTATTGTGATCAGGTTGTTGGTTTTGGGATGAGGGGAGAGGGAACTCAATATTTTTGATGGAGCTACCGGTATCTTGATTGTTTATTTACCACCTGGCTAAATGTTTAGCATCTGTCACTGCATTAAGTCACCTTTCCACTTACATAATGCTGATTTTTTAAACTATACAATCTGATATGCACTCATAATTTTTGGAGACAAGAATCTCCCATTTTAGTTTTCTGAACAGACTGGCCAAGCCATAAAACTCCTGTCTTTTTTTCTTAAGTTTCCGGGTCTTTCGCTTTTCCTGCCAGCCTTCCTCTGTTGTTTTTTTTTATTGTTGTTCCAGGTTTGATTTTGTTGCACTAGTTATTTATTAACTCCATTATTATAATTGTCACGTAAATCTGCTGCAACTTTTGTCTGGTTGCATTTTGGTATATATTTGAGTTTTTATTTTCTAAAACAGATTTTGCCACCCCAACTAGTTTCATTGGGTTTAAAAGGATCTTGTAGTTGCAAAATGGGTAAATTAAAATCATTAGATATTCTGTTTGTAAGATCAACTCACACTGCCATGTTTGATGTGGTTAGTTGGATAAGTGACTTGCAGTCAAATAACTTACTTGCCTTTCAGATAATGCAAGATTGGCTGTTATATTCTAATAAATTATTATTGATTTTTTTTACAATTGATTTTTGTTGTGAAATCATTTTATTTTTAATGTTAGATTTCTAAAAGATGCATTTTGTTGTACTTGTGTATAGTTATTTCTTTAACCTTGTGTTTTTGGGCTGTGTTAGGCTTCACTTTTCTTCACTCAGTTGATGGGTACTGGTATTGTATTGCTTTGTAAAGATGGAAATACGTCACACGTTTTCAACTTTTTTAATAAAGAGGATTTGAAGATATATTTTACAGTATAAAATTTGTTTAAACTACATCTTCCATTCTTTGATTAAAATTGTAACTAGATCACAAACATTGCCAGTTTTCTGCCTAAGTGAGTTTGTTAATCCTAACCTGTTTTCATTCTGAAATCTTAGTCTGAAAGTTTTTGGGTATTCAAATAAAGAATTGCAAATCTAATCTTATGTATTGAAGCAAATGGGAGAATTATATTATTCTAATTCCATGATACAGATTAAGAAAATCCTTTAAAATAGTTTACTTTTGAAACATTTACTCTTTTGACTTGTGACCACATTTTGGGTGACTACCCAAGGAATATATGAACAAACAAACACTGATTATATAACCACCTAACAGTGATTATGACTAAACAGACAATGAATATATGACCATAAATGACACTATAAGTTATAATTGCTAGAAAAAACACAAGAAAGCAAGTGACAATGATAAGGTTATTTCATTTTATTACATAGATATAATTAACAGAACCATGACTAGTATAGAGCTGAAACTATCTCTTATGCTGATTACACGAGTCAATTCTCTCATAGACACAGATGAAGTGATCACACAGTCCAGCTGACTTATGTAATGATGAACACTTAAATAGTCAGAACCAGAAGTGAATAGACACCAAAGTGGTAAGTTCCACTGCCACATTGGGAAGCCCATAAATTGGCTAGGTAAATTATTAGAAAATGTCACAATACTAATTGCTCCTCTGGTATTTGACCTTACACAGAGAGGCCATGGGATACAATAACTGACACATATTCAGAATCATATTCAAAGAAGATGAAAATTAACATGTTATTTCTTACCGTAATGATCAAATGTGATTGGCACATACATTTTAAATTTGTTAAACAAAAGTTTATTAAAACAGTGGACAAAGAACAAGTAGAAAAACATTTTCAAGCACAGCTTAAGTGGTGTATGTAGGCAAATGGGGGATACAGCTAGTCAGTCACACATGTACAGATATGATGTTATTGCTTTCGACTTTTGCTACTATTGTGTTTTCAACAAAATTTGAAAACAATATATATTTCATCTTTAAATATGATTTATAAGATATTTAAATTTTCAGTCACAATTTTCAGCCTGGAAGTGCTGGAATGTTAAATGAGTAAAATCTTAGATAAAACCATGACATCAACTACACTTATCAGATTCATAAAGTTAAAAATATCAATTGGCAAGTCTAATTCAATTAAAAAAACATTAACAAATATTGGTGCCATCTTACAGTGATAAGGCAAAGTCAGTCATTGTCAGTCAGATTCTCTCTGTCATGATCAGTCATTTTCACTCATTAGTAAGTCAAAATCTGTCATTTGTGATACACTGAAGTTCAAAATGTGATCAAAGTTCATCATTCTTTTTATGGTCTTTTTTTGATTTGGACTTTTTGTCTTTGGAGCTCTGGTTCTTCTGAGAAATAAATCAAATATAAGATTTCAACTCTAAATTTATATGTCAACAATAAAAACATACGATTTCAACTAACTTTATATTTATATGTCAACAATAAAAACACAAAGCTTACATGTAAGTGTCAATATTAGATAAATCTAATCACAACAATTTCAGTCTGAACTAACTTCACTTACTTCAGCTCCAGCCCCTGGATAACTCTGCCCTTCTATGGAAACCTCTTCACAACGTTCTTGCTTCACAAGGAAGTCTCGAACTTCCCAGGCCTTTGATCCATCTTTCAGCATGAAGAGCACTCGATCAGAACCCACTACATATCTTAAAGCACAGGATAATAACAGAAGATATAACATTCTCTGCTTTAGTTGAATAATGTCATGTGAATTATGGTTGTTTACAGTACAGGAAGCAAACAATATATTTTAATGCAAACAAAGTGGAAAATTAGAATATCGTAAAAGCAGAATTAGTTCATTGCCATGAAATTAGGATACATTTCATATTTATTAGCATCAATATCGACACAACTGACCTCTGTGTCTCAACATGAGCATTAAACAAGCTACTGTGCCACAGCAAGGAGATTTTTTCAGTTTCTTCTTCTGTTGGTTTACCTAAAGAATGAAATTAATCAACAGTCTCTTTCAGCAAGAGTTATAAACCCTGATTCAGCTGATCTCAGATCATTATTAATAAACAACTGCACTGATAGTATTATGTCCACAACCCATCATAATAATATAGATAAAACAGACTATTCAAAACGTTGCACAGAATTAACATGTACCTGATACTGTAGCAAACATCATTAAGGTCCGACCCTTTTTTGACATTTTTAGAACACCCTCAGGATCATTGGGATTAATATTAGACAGATCAATTTTCGGGGGCTCTTTCTTCCAATCAGGTAGTTCATCCTCCTCTAATTCATCCTCATCTGCCTCCTGAAATAGGAAATGTGGTCCAAAAATATTATAGAATGCAGATGAGGCTCATCTTTTAGAAACTTGATGAGCAAAGAAGCAATTTAATTTTTTTAATTTATATCAGTATTGATAATCATTTGTAAGCTTCTGAGTTCATGAAAAAATTTTTAAAATCAGTTCTTGAACAAGAAAAGTGTGTAGAGTATTGACTTTAAAACCAAATGATTGATTTTCTAAGCATATGTTTAATATGAATTGTTCTTATCGTTGACCCTAGATATTAATTAAAGTTGTTTTGAAGTCATGGTTTCTCTGTTATGATTCTGGCCAACCCCACTGATCTAAAATTGTTATCATAACCAAATTTTGTTGTATTTTGCTTAAAATTAAAACAATGTGATGGCTGATGCCAGTTGAGTTACCCTAACAATATTAGAAATAACTAAACAATAATGTAATTTTTCTTCTTTCAACTTTAAAAAAAAAATATATATATATTTATAAGAATAAGTAGATTTGCAATTTAGAAACATCACAATTTGAAAATTTCAACAATCTTTTTAGAATAGCAGACTATGACGCTATACGATGACATTCCATGAATTTTATTCTTGTGAGTTGCCCAAAGATTGAACCCTAATTTAAAAATATAATGTAAGCTTAGGCCCTATAGATAATAGATACCTATACTGCCCCACTGCAGTCTTACTATTTTTTGTTCTTAATGCTTAGGGTTAGACCATTAGAATTGTTCTGATTCTTCCAACTGTGAGGGATTCTGTCTACCCGCAATTTGTTTTCTTTCTTTCCATTTCTTTATTAGAGAGGATGGTGGGAGAAGCCTTCTAATTAATATAGCTTTATAAAATGTTTTTATTTTGTTTTACCCACAGAAAGGCATAGGCTTAGAGATTTTAAACTTTTTGCAGAACTGCACTCCCTCTTGATTTGAAAACTTTTCCTGCACCCCACCTCGAATTCACTGCTATAATATACAACGCTAATAAAAAAAAAACTGATTTTCTGGATCATATCTTTTAGCACCCTATGACACTGCCAACTGCACTTCCAAAGGGTGGGGGACATCCCTGCATTAGTGTATTTTGTCCCTGTACTAAACTTTAATAGTAATGTTTAACTTACACACTATGTTAATGTTTACCTGATGCCCCAATATATATTAATATTAGCCATAGTCTGACATTGTCTTTCTATTAATTAAATCTTACTTAACTTAAGACTCTAGCCAATCCAAAGGTACAATCACAGTCACAGCACCCTTGGTCGTAGTTGAATTACTTGTGAATTGTGTAGCCTAGCTTATTAGTATTAGGCTTAGACGTAGTGGATTAGGCGGGCTTAGCTTGACTGTTCATTCATACAGCTTACACACTGGTAGTAGTCTCTCAGTAGTTAGTCAGTAGCCTACATATACTCAATAAACACGGTAAAAGTGGAGTTCAGGTGTGTATATTATTTCTGTTTGAATTTCTTATTTTCGTGTGTAAACTTATGTTAATTCTTTATAAAAAGTATTTTAAAAGTAAAATACCATATTTTTATTGAAATACAACAGCAATTAAACAAATTTTATGAGATAAAAAATTACATTTTTATGAATCTTTTGTCTTTTACGGAGCCATTGTGGTAAGTCAAGGATAACTCTTTTGTCTTTAAAGATACGTTATAAGTTCGCGTATAAACCAAATGCTGCACCATTTAAAATTTCCGTTGGATCAACAATTTCAATTATTGTCTCTTGGTCGTCCTGCCATTGTGAACAAAATGATCCCACTACCAGCAATACCGCAAAACGAGTCCGTCTTATTCTATAGAATCACTAGCCCTCACCCTCATTTTACTCAGCGCAAATCAGTCACCATTAATAAGCGCATTTGCATACGAAAAAAGGGGAGGGGTGCTCAAATTAGAGCTAACCAATCACAGACAACGTATTTGCAGCCATCAGTATGAGATGACTATCAATAAAGGATCAGATTTCCTCCATTCCTGCAACGTCACAAATATTTTTTTAAAATAGTGGACACGTGATCACACATTGGCACATATTCGTGATCACACATTTTGGCACATATTCGTGATCACACATTGGCACATATTCGTAACTCCCCACCACCCCACCCTTTTCAGCTTCACTCTAGGACAATGATGACGTGTGTGATCCACTTCTAATTCACCNCCCCCCCCCCCCTCAGACTTCAAAGGCCAACCCGCATATTCCGAGTGCTCTGAGAGGGGAAAAAAAAAAGAAAGAGGGGAGAAGGAGGCGTTCGTACGTAATGAAAAATCTAGTATTTCATTCTTTTTTGTGAACATGCCTACAGTTTGAAGATATCGTTTAGCATACTAACATATAGGTGGTTAAAAATCTGGCCATAGGGTGAAAAAAAAACAACAAAAAAAAACAAATGGGGCTATGTAACTTTGGTTGGGGGATGTTTAAAGACTCTTTAAAAATCAAATAAATAATACGTTTAAGGGCAATTTAAAATTCAGTATTAGTTAACAATTGCCTGTATTTAATTAATATAGAATACATGCATGTTTACATGATAAAATACGAAATGCGCTAAAAAATAATCTACGCAACTGGAAACTGAACTCCACTTTAATCGTTTTATTGAAATTAAGCCGCTTATGAAATTTTAAGTTGCGAGTTCAGTTAATTAATAATTAATTAATTAACTACCCCCCCACTTGCCCTCACTCTTACTATTACTATTACTTTACTAAACTAGTTAGTATTTACACACTAACTTGACTCTTCAAAATTTTGAAATTGTAATGAACTTGTAGGTAATTGTATCCAAGGCCAAGGCCATTGTGTTTCCAAAGTATTTTATTTCTATTTATAAATAATTAGCCTATTAAACTATAAAATTTTCAAAATTAAGCCTAGGCCTAAGCCTAAACAAAACTCTAAATAATAAATAAGTTAAGTTAAGTCCAAGTGCTAAGGCTAAGTCTACCTCCCACTGCTCGTAAAGCCTCTCCAAGTCTACATCATTGTAGTCTCTGACATCTTTTTTTTTCCACTTTTCCGACTCGTCACTTTTTTCTTTCTTTGAATCTTTTTTACCATTTACAAAACAAAAAAGGAATAAAACAACCAAGATCATGAATGAATACTTCGCCATTTTACTGACTAAAATCTAAATTGCGATGTGAAAGCGGAAATGTGAAGTCTTGAAGAAAACGTGTGAGAGCGGTAGGGGTGCCTTATTCTTCCTTTAATGGAATAAGAGCATTTATTTAATGTGAGTAACATCCCTTGGAAAAATGTGTTGTTTTTTATACTAAAATCCTGCCTAATCCTGCCTAATCATTATAAATGTTAAACATATTTTTAAAAAAAAAATCAAATTACTACGAAGACCGCATAGGGATATAGCTTAAAATAGGTTAACTACGATGTACGTTAAATAAAATGTTTAGCTATTTATAATACCAATAGACACTTCCTTATAATTTTAATTATCGTGGCTATTCGGACCTGGAAAACAGTGAGTGTGAGTGTGAGAGTGAGAGGCTGGGTTAGTTTATAAATTTGTAAGTATAAAGTTTATTAAAAATATTAAAAATATTATTCAAATTATTGTTGGTTTTATAAGACTAAGACAAAATTTGATATCAAATGAAAGATAATTGAATGGACGGCTTGAATGTTTGTAAACAACTTACTTCAATCAATGACAATGTTATTGTTACTAAAACTAAAATAAACAACGGCAACGGCTACGGCTAATTTGGAGAGATCGGCCCTTGACGACGTCATTTGCTTGTTTTGTTTTGGATTCACTCCACTTATTTTTTTTGTTTATAGAGTTACATTTTCCTAATTAAATTTTATTGGTTGATTAATTATAATTTAAAAATTTTCATTGGTCTCCAAAAAAAAATTGACAATCTCTTTGCACATCATCAAAAAATGGTGATAGAATACTGTTAAAATGGAAACATTTATAAAATTAAAGATATAATTATAATAATATATTTATTTTATGTTAGCATTGAATTTTTCTTATTAAATAAAATCATTAATTATGTTATCAGAAGGCATAATTATATCAATTATTTATGGGGTTATTTTGGGGGGTTGGGGGGGGGTGTGTCCCTCAACAAATATTTTACGATCACATGCAACATAATAAATAAGTGACTATTATCCTAAGTGAACTGTTTTATTTTTTTAGATATCAACTTAAGGAAATGCATGCAGGAAAATAGCTTGACTTTACATCATCAATGCACCAAAAGAAGTCAATGTTATATCTGTTTACTCGCCTTCATCGGCATAAAATGGCCAAAATAACAGTAGTGTTGCTAATACTGTGTTTGGCTGTTATATTTTTGTTGCATCAGCAGCTTTCAAAGCCTTATCGTAGAGGAGTACCAGACATCGATCCTGAACTTTGGCGACTTCTTGGACCACAAGATTTGACAAAATTAGTATGTTTTAAAAAATGCAATAATACGAAATTAACTTTTCACTTATAAATAAAATGTGAAGATTAAATTTTTTGTACAATATCTGTTTTAAAACATTTCTTAAAGAAAATATTATGTTTTAATCTTTGGGGGCCTAAATGAAATTACGTTTTTTAAAATCACCTTAATGTCATAAATAATTCTCACAGACTTATTGAACATCTGCCTCAAACAAGTTCAGAAGTAAATAAAAAAATTAACCTATTTTCATTTATTTTTTTTAGAAACCTGCTGTGACTCCTCAGTTACCACAGATTCATATCAAGAACATACCTCCCATCATCATCAAGAACAGCTGGACAATACGAGAAGTAGAGGAGCAATTCTTTCGGTAAATTTTCTGAAATGCATTTCTTCATAGCATGGCAGTAGTAGATTTAATTTGAAGCTTAGCTTATAACAGGGATTGATAGGTTAGATTTTAACTGACGTTACATTCATACAAAGAATCCCTTATGTTTTATACAAGTTTTATAAAAGTGACTTTGATCAAGCTGTGCTGTCACATTTAACATTGAAAATGTTGTTTTGTGACTTATATAGCATTGACCAAGTAACATTTTGACATATTACAGTGACCATGCAGTGCTATGACATACAAACTTGACCATGGGACATATAACATTGACCATGCTGTTCCTTAATGTGTAACAATAATGGTGTTGTGACATATCACATTGACCATGCTATGCTGTGACATATAACAATGACCATTGTGTGTTGTTAAATTTAATAATGATCATGTTGTTCCATGAGATATAACTAATGGTCGAGGGACTTAAATCATTGAACATGCTGTGCAGTGACATATAACATTGACAATGTTCTGCTGTGACATTAAAAATTGACCATGTGACAATATGTGACGTCTAACATTTTCCCTGTTCTCAGGTTTGTTGAAAACAAAGACATCAAATGTGAAAGAGATCTACGTTTAGGGAGCTGGAATGACGGTGGCTGGAATGTCTGCATGTCCCCTCCATACAAGCTGCTGTCCCCTTGTGTTGTCTTCTCTTTTGGGTACATTTTCATGATATTTTTCTATAAGTAATTGATAAAGGGGATATCACTTATCAATATAATCATTCGCTTCTGTCGCCTGTCATTTGTCTCCGGCTGTTGTCTTATATTTTGTAACTAAAATGTCTACTTCTTTTGTCAGGATTGGCGATGATTGGCAGTTTGATGACAGCATTGCCAACGGCTACAGTTGTACAGTCCTTGCGTTTGATCCAAGGTAATGTTGGAGTTATACTAATAATCAAATAATAATAAAGTTTATTTTTTTAAGAATGACGCTTCGTCCCCAAAGACTTGAAGCGCGGTACAAAGTCAGCCATATTAAAAGAAAAATGAAACAATCTATATTTTACCACATTAAAACACAAAACGCAACACTACAAAAAACTACTAACTTGCATACCCATTCAAAGTCTTTCATCCCTTGCAACCATAAACAACACAGGCCACTATACATCTAGGAGGTAATAGCTAGCTGGAAAAGGTGGTAGATAACATCATCCCAGCAGATGTTTGCAAAATAGGTGCGTTTTCAAATTGGTTTTGAAGGATTCCAGTGTCTGGCTGTTTCTGAGAGCGACAGGAAGGCTGTTTCAAATTGTGGGGCCAGCAAATGCAAATGTGTGCCTTGCGTAATTCTCAAGGCGAACACAAGGTATAGAGAGTTTGCCACTATCGGATGAGCGGAGTTGTCTAGTGGGTACATAAGGCGTCATGAACGCTTTGAGATAGGATGGTGCAGGTCAAGCAAGCAGCATTAGTACAGAGTTGCAATTTTGTACTCTATGGGAGTGCGGACCGGCAGCCAATGCAACTCTCTCGGAAGTGTTTTAGCATGGTGGAATTTGCGGTTTCGAAGAACAATGCGAACCGCATTATTCTTGGCTTTTTGTATTTTTTCCAGGAGCGTAGCTGGAAGACCCACCATGAGAGCATTGCAGTAGTCTATGCATGATAACACAAATGCAGACTTCAGCCTCTTTGATGCATCTAACGTTAAGAAAGGACTGATTCTGCGCAGCTCTAGAAAAATTGTCTTGCAATGCATGTAAATATGATTTTCCATAGTTAGTGTTCTGTCTAAGACACCAAGATTTCACACTGTTTGAGCAAACTCAATCTGCTTACCTGAGAGAGTAAGGGATTGTGTGTTATTTACAGATTTTAGCTATTAAGCAGTAGCAATGGGGATAAGCTTGGTCTTTTCATTGTTCAATTTGAGCTTATTCATTGTCATCCAGTGCTTAACTGACTCCACTGTCTTCTGCTTCACACTAAGAAGCTTAGGGAACTGAGAGGGGATCACGGATTGATGAAGTTTGGTATCATCCGTAAACATGTGATATAGCATGTCAAACTGCTTGATCACTGCTGAACATACATAGTTAAAAGCACCGGACCTAGGACCGAGCCCTGGGGTACTCCGAATTGGATTATAGATTGCCTCGAGATCAGGCCCTTTGCAATAACTGATTGGACCCGATTTGTCAGATTCGAGCAGAACCATCTCAGGACGGTATTGGTGAAACAGAAGTTTTTTGCAGACGTTGGAGAAGTATGCCGTGGTCAAGCGTATCGAACACTGCTGATAGATCAAGTAACGATAAAGGGATACCTGGCCCTTACCACAAGATGACAGAAGGGCACTTATGACGTGCAATAGTGCTGTCTCTATAGAGTGATGCGCCCTGTGTGCTGACTGGAAAGGCTCAAACAAGTCACACTGAATGAGATGATCCAGGAGCTGGCGGAGAACGACTTTCTCTAAAATCTTTTGGATACAAATGGTATATCAGAGATGGGGCGATAATTTTCCAACACATTTGGGTCGAGATTTGACTTCTTTAGTAGTGGAGTTACAACTGCCTCTTTAAAAGTGGATGGAACAATACCAGTTTTCAAAGATTGATTTATGATACTAGTGTATAATGGAACAACCGGAATCACCTTGGACATTCACCCCGGACAAATATTATATATTTTTTTCAATTATTGACCTTGGCAAATAATACTATTTCTACCCATGCGGATCCGAAAATTTATTTGAAAATTAAAATTTTAAAACTAGTCAATAAACTAGCGTATTAAAATGGGTTGCTGGATGGTTTTGCCTTCTCAATTATGTCAATTTGCAACTAATTGTTCATTGGAGTTCAACCCAAGCAGAACCTAGAAGGAAAATCCTCATCACAAGCACCCCATTGATGCAGCCAGAAAAAAATGCTACTTTAACAATAACTTTGTATGCACACAATATAATATAGCAATGAGAAAAATTAATGAATAATCTCCCCTTAGCTGTGCACATATCCTAACATCTTTACATCCTTCCCTTAATCACAACTTTAAAATGAAAATAGCTGGTTAAAGTCCAATTTTAATCAATTTATTTTTTTACACCGATCATAAGCCAAAATCTAACAGCTAATATGGTTACAGGAAATTTGATCGAACAGAAATTGGGTCAAATCTTTTTTTCAGTTTACACATTAAAATTTTCGTCAAATTTCTTTTTGAACGCACTATGCTATGTAGTAAAACAAATAATTAGCTCAAAAAGAAATTTGAAGCAAAATTTTAACGTGTGAACTGAAAAAAAGATTCAACCAAAATTCCGTTTGATTAATTTTCCGTCAATCAACTTTCCGTCTACCAAATTTCTTTCAAATTTCTGGACACGAGCATATATAGATGATACATCAATAATAATGCTAACTGTAGTAAACTGATTCCTGAATTAAAATTAATTATAACTGAATGCATTATATTATCTGCCTTTACTGAGTAACTTAGTTTACCGTCTTGTTACCTTATTTTTACCACAATTATCATTTACTATGATGTCCACTTACATAATTTCGTCCACTTTACCATTACTATTCCAGCCACAAGTGTCATTTACTATGATGTCCACAAACATATTTATGTCCACTTTGCCATTACTATTCCAGCCACAAGTGTCATTTACTATGATGTCCACTAACATATTTATGTCCACTTTACCATTACTCTTCCAGCCACAAGTGTCATTTACCATGATGTTGACTACACAATTGTGTTCTATTTTACATTAGTATTCCAGTTCCACGCAGTATGAGAAGTCCTCTAATACACTTCAGGAAAATTGGCCTGGGAGCCAAGAATGAAAGAAATTCTAAAGGATGGGACTTGAAGACACTGCGTCAACACTTTAAAGATGAAGGATATTGGGGGGTAAGTTGCTAATGGGGGGTATTCGCTATATGGAGTAAGCTGTTATTGGCCGGTAAATAGTTATGGGGTATACAAATTTTTTGTGTTTATTGATATGGTGTTATTTTGATATGGGTTATCGACAGGCAAGTCTGGATATTGTGGTGGGAGTAAGTCTGGATATTGGGTGGGGTAAGTCTGGATATTGGGTGGGGTAAGTCTGGTTATTGTGTTGGGAGTAAGTCTGGATATTGGGTGGGGTAAGTCTGGTTATTGTGTTGGGAGTAAGTCTGGATATTGATGGGGGGGGGGTTAGGTCTGGATGTTGGGTGGGGATAAGTCTGGTTATTGACAGGTAAGTCTGGATATTGTGGTGGGAGTAAGTCTGAATATTGGGTGGGGTAAGTCTGGTTATTGTGTTGGGAGTAAGTCTGGATATTGATGGGGGGGTTAAGTCTGGATATTGGGTGGGGATAAGTCTGGTTATTGACAGGTAAGTCTGGATATTGTGGGTGGGGTAAGTCTGGATATTGGGTGAGATAAGTCTGGTTATTGACAGATAAGTCTGGATATTGTGGGTGGGGGTAAGTCTGGATACTGTGGTGGGGGTAAGTCTGGATATTGGTGTGGGGGTAAGTCTGGATATTAAGGAGGACTACAGTTATTGATGCATGAACTGGTTTCCCCAAAGTAGACTTTAGATATATGCAGCCGTAAGTTAAGTGATATTTGTGAGTAGTTTTAGACATTGTTGTAACTAGTTGTAGAATGAAAGTTGCGAGTTTTAGATAACGCGATTTTTGTAATTGCGGAAAATATGTAATTTTGTTTTAGATAAGACATTGACATGTTGCTGCTCATGTCTTCCTGGCACAGGTAACAGTCGACTATGTCAAGATGGATATAGAACTGATGGAATGGGATGTTTTAAAACAAGTCATCCGCGATGGTTCACTTGAGCATGTCAAGCAACTCGGCTTTGAGATGCACACCCCAGAATTGTCCCGGATATACAAAAAAGCCAACCAAACACTTCCTGAGCGTAACCAAACTGCCGCTAAATTGGAGTTCATACAAATGTTTGAAACTTTGCATGCACTCGAAAGGATTGGATTCAAGAAATTCAACTACAGGATGAATCCTTTTGGGGACTACAAGTCTGTTTACACATCCAGGGATAGGTCCTGTTGCTATGAACTACATTACATCAACACTCGCTTCTTGACAGAAAATAACACTATAGTGCATAGCAAAGATTCTCCACTCTTTCACTGAGCAACGGTTCTTGTCTATTTTATTGACCAAAGTTTTCTCTTCCAGTAATCAAGTGTTCTCAACTCTTTCACTGATCAATGGTTCTTTTTATTGACCAAAGGTTCTTATCTTTTCCACTGACCAAGGGTTCTCAACTCTTTCACTGACTAAGTTTTATTTCCCCTTTCATTGACCAAGAGTTCTTATCTCTTCCTTTGACCAAGTTTTCTCAACCCTTTCATTGATCTACAGTTCTAAACCATTAGGCTGACCAATGATTTTCACCTTTATTACATTTGTTTGTTTTTTTAAATCATATTTTTGTTACAACAGTAGCATACTCAAGCATCAAGCATTATTTTTGTATAACACTTTCTCGTAACATTCCATTGTGAACAAACTGTTCATTTTTTACACATTGATTTTTAACATTTTTTCGTTATGTAAATGACTCACATTTGTATATTTTATAGCAGGGCTGCACAACTCAAAATATAAGGATGTTGTGCAGGCCTGCTTTATAGTAATGTTTCAAACTGACCTATTTTTTGGTCAATGTACGCATTTATTGATCATGTAACTAATGTCTTCAAGGATATTTTTTTCATAAATGTACACAGTTGTAGGTTGTACATAGATGTTGGCTGTACATAGTTATGGGTTGTACACAAAATGTGATCTATTACAGGTCCAGGAAAAATTTATGATATTTTGTTTGTGCAAATGACTCAAGTGGCTCAATTGATGCTCATACAAATTGCTTATTTGTTCAGAATGTTTGAAAATGTCAAATGTACATTGCTACAATAGAGTACTTGATATTTAAGTGATGTTTAAATAGCTTACTTGCTATGTTTCAATGCCTACTGTTTGCTCAACCACGGGTTTAAAAAATGGTTGTGTGATGTAATGCAGTCAAAAATGTTTCTATTCTCATTGAGGTAACAACAACACGAGTGATAGTACAATAAACTGAAGCATTTATTTAATTGTAAATTGATATAAAAATTTTTTTATTTGAATGTTGTTTGTTTGGATTTGAAAATGAAACATATCAGTAAACAAGGATGCTATAAAAAGCTTTATTGTTATTTTGGGATTGGATTACCATATGGGACCCTTGGATTACTGTAAGGGGCCCTTGGATTACCATATGGGACCGTTGGATTACTGTAAGGGGCCCTTGGATTACCATATGGGACCCTTGGATTACCGTAAGGGGCCCTTGGATTACCGTAGGGGACACTAGTAAATGATAACATGAAAGTAAAAGTTATATTCTGGTATTAATTAAAAAATCTATTGTATTTCGAAATAGCTCAGCCATTTTGTTATATTTTTATTGCACCTTGCTGGCACTTAGTTATTAGTCCAAGGTAGCACTTGTGCACACTAGTATGGTGTGAGTAAGAGTGTCTGGAGAGTGTTAAGAAAGAAGTTAATAAAGTATGCTTGCCTTGATAACTTTCCTGCCTGGGCATTAATAAACAACAATGATAAGTGTGATCTGATGTACTATCCTAAAAGTGTGATCTGATGTACTATCCTACTGGGCATTTCACCTATGTCAAATACCTAACCAAGTTAAGTTTCATTAAATTATTATTGATTAGATCACGCCACTTATACATTAATTTAGTTGTTTTTATAGATCTTTACTACCCCTGTGAATATTTATTTGAAATACATAATTGAACTAACAAAAGCAAAGACAATTGGTTTGTATTTGATCTATTTCAGATCTTCTTCGGACATAGAATTGAACGTTTGTTTCCTCTTTTGCTTAGTTTTTTTTTTATAGAAAGTTATTTTAAAGCTGATTTTGTTTGACTCAGAATTGAATGACCACAGTAGTTGTAAGTACATGGCAGGGGATTCTTTTCAAACAAAATTAATCTTCTTTGCTTTTTTGTCGTTATTATCTATAATGGTCTACTATTGTGTCGTTAGAAACTCTGATGATCTACTATTGTGTTGTTAGAAACTCTGATGATCTACTATTGTGTTGTTAGAAACTCTGATGATCTACTATTGTGTCGTTAGTAACTCTGATGATCTACTATTGTGCTATCATTATCTCTTTTTGGAGCAGGATGCCTTATAGCTGTGTAGTAGCTAGTGTTTCTTGACTTAGGCATGGATTTCCTATGGAATATTTGTGCCAGGCTTACTTTAAGATACATCTTTTAAAAGTATCTTATTACATCTTGAATAACAATTGATTACTCGTATGTATACATTTCTAATAAATTATAAAGCACTTTTTAAATCCATGAATCTTTTTATTTAATTATAAGACAATTTGATTTCATTTTACTAAACTTTTGATTAATTATATGAAACTTTGATTTAAGTATATGACACTTGATGTCATTGCATGAAACTTTCATTTCAACTATATCAATTTTTTTTATTCTTCTATGGTACTTTTAATTAATTATATGGAACTTTTGAAAAGATTTGGAAGAACTATTTAACTTGTTGATAAATGATATGTTGCTGTGCAGAAAGAATTTCTTTAATCAGTGGTCACTCAGCTTTCTTATCAAAACGGCTTAATGCAAAATGAAGAAATTTGACTTCTTTTGGCATAAATATATATATAAAAAATTTAAAAATCTCAGTTTGGACAGGTTCGCAAACAGCATAAAGAGAAGATTTGTTGTTTTGTTTTTGTGTTTTACAGTTAAAACACAAGAAGCTCGAAAAATGGTGAAATGTTGTGGTCTGCTCAAAATTTGTACACGTATCCCTCCTCCTCCTCCTCTCTCTCTCTTCCTCCTCCCCTCTCTCTCCCTCCTCCCCTCTCTCTCCCTCCTCCCCTCTCTCTCTCCCTCCGCCTCCGCTCCCGCGATGACAATGCACCACTTTATGTTCAGTAGGGAGACATTGACCTCCACTGACCATTGAATATCTCAGGAACGGAAGGTGAGGGGGGGGGGACATCTGTTCCGCACGCAATGTGACTCGTTCCCGATAACAATCAACGATGAGGTACACATTTTATTTTTCTTTAAACCTTAGCGTTTTTTTTTTGTATTTCACGGGCGGCCACACGCATTTTTTAGTCGTACCTTTCATAGCTCTTCCTTCTCGCCCAATACATCTTCCAAGACTAAAAATAAAATAACTAGCTATTTTTAAAACCTTATATTTTATATATATATATATATATATATATATATATATATAACAAAAGATAACCACACTAAATACTCATAGAGGAGGTCAAAGCAACCATCGGGAGGGGGGGGGAGCTATAGGGGGCATAGGTGCGCCATTTAGAGAACAATATTAAAGTTGTGCTTTATGCTTTCGACTTTTGGTCGGGGGGTGGGGCGCCAAGAATCTTGTTTTGGCTTTGCTGTCAAGGTGTGGAATGCCTTCTCCTCTTCTTCCGACGTCAATACTTTTGGTGCCGACCTCTTTAATCAGGGGTTCTCAACAAGGGGATTCAGTAACAGGGGGTGAAATAAGGTCGAAAAAATATCAAGTTAATATGTTTAAGCATTTTTTAACATTAGGGGTGCGTGAAATATATTTTGATATCAAGTGAGGGTAGGGCGCTTCAAAAGTTTTAATAACCTCTATATAGCGTTCACTGTTTGAATAATTAACCTGCAGAGAAATGCTGTTTCAAACAATACCAAGAAAAAAGAGATCGCCATCCCGAAACCTAAAGCATTTGACTGTAGTGAGCCAGCAGTTAACTTGAAATGGGTGCTGGCGGGCCGAGCGGTCTAAAGTGAGATAATCCGAAACTAGTGGACTGGGGATCAATCCCCAGAAAACGCCTAGATAATGAAAAACATAACCAGCACCCCGGTTGGATGAGACTTGTAGACCTTGGAAGGTAACTCATTTGTCGGTGTTAAGTCAGGGGTTCCCCAGGGCTCAGTTCTAGGTCCCTGTTTGTTCCTAGCACACATCCATGACTTACCCGAGAGACTGAAATCCCAAGTAAGACTGTTTGCAGATGACACGAGGGTGTATAAGACGATCGCCAACAGATCTGACCAGAACCAGCTACAACAGGATCTCAATCGATTAGCTGAGTGGGAGATGGGCTGGGACATGGAATTTCATCCTGCCAAGTGTCAGACACTGTCAATCTCAAGAAGTTGTACTCATTTACACCACCCTTACGAACTGCATGGCCATCCCCACTTGAGCCATTTTCCTCCGCAAAGTACTTCCGTGTTACCATTCAAAGAGAGGTCCGCTGGGACGAGCATATTAATGATATGTGCAACCAGGCAAACAAGACACTAGGGTACTTAAGGCGTAATCTGAAGATAGGCATTTCCTTTGTGAAAGAAAGAGCCTATAAAGTCTTTGTCCAGTTGCTTTTAGATTATGCATCTTTAGTTTGGGATCCATTCACCCAGAAGAGCATCGACAAGCTGGAGGCGGTCCAACGGGCAGCACGCTTTGTCCTGAACCGCTACAGTAATACCTCTAGTGTTGGCAGCATGCTGGCCACGCTGAGTCGGTCACAATTGGAGGAACGACGACGACTTTATAGGCTCTCCATGATGTACAAGATAAAAAATGGGTTGGTCTACTGCTCCAGTATTAAACAGAAACTCGTCCCTCTCCCCCATAGACAGCGACGAGGCTATTACAGACAGTTCCGGCTCATACCAGTGAGAATCCAGTATAGGAACTGCCCATTCCTGCCAAAGACAATCAGGGACTGGAACAAGCTTCCAAAAGGAACAGTTGAGACGACAACACTTGAAACATTTGCGTCTATTGCCTCAGGCCTTGGAACTGCAAGTGCATGATACCCTCACTAAATAGCCCTTGCAACCAGCGAAAAATCCTCTTCAACACCAGTCACAAAACTTGCTAATTCCCTCTACATGCATAGGAGTCAGAATGATCAATAAATTGATCGTGGACCCTTAATATATAAAGAAGAACTCATCTAAGAGATGGCAAATTCTGAACTCAAATCCGAAGATGGATTTCCGATGGCTTGATGACAATGACAGAATTAAAATTCCGACAACTCGTGCGACGTGGAACGCATAACCAGCACAGTGAAACAGAAGCACACACTGCTGGTCTTCTACTGCTGGTCATCTACTGCTGGTCATCTACTGCTAGCCATCTACTGTTGGTCATTAACTGCTGGCCAGCTACTGCATCCTGGTCACACTTCTGGTCATCTACTGCATCCAGGGCACACTGCTGATCATCTACTGCATCCAGGGCATACTGCTGGTCATCTACTGCATGCTGGTCACACTGCTGGTCATCTAATGCATCCTGGTCACACTGCTGGTCATCTACTGCATCCTGGACACACTGCTTGTCATCTGCTGCTGGACATCTACTGCTGGTCATCTACTGCATCCTGGTCACACTGCTGGTCATCTACAGCATCCTGGGAACAATGCTGGTCATCTACTGCTGGACATCTACTGCATCCTGGTCACACTGCTGGTCATCTACAGCATCCTGGGAACAATGCTGGTCATCTACTGCTGGACATCTACTGCATCATGAGGACACTGCTGGTCATCTGCTGCTGGACATCTACTGCATCCTGGGCCACTGTTGGTCATCTACTGCTGGACTTCTACTGCTTCCTGGGCACACTGCTGGTCATCTACTGCTGGACATCTATTGCATCCTGTGAACACTGCTGGTCATCTGCTGCTGGTCATCTACTGTTGGTTTTCTACTGCATCCTGGGCACACTGCTGGTCATCTACTGCATCCTGGGCAAACTGCTGGTCATCTACTGCTGGACATCTACTGTTGGTTTTCTACTGCATCCTGGGCACACTGCTGGTCATCTACTGCATCCTGGTCACACTGCTGGTCATCTACTGCATCCTGGTCACACTGCTGGTCATCTACTGCATCCTGGGCTCACTGCTGGTCATCTACTGCGTCCTGGTGACACTGCTGGTCATCTACTGCATCCTGGTCTATTTCTCGTGTCGGAAAAACAAATAAAAACGTATGTTGAGTCAAAATCTATTCTCACAGTAATATGTTTTGGTCTTGTATGCTTGCTCACTGGTTGTCTCTAATGCGCGTGTGTCCCCCAAACGAGTATCCTAGCCATTCTTGTGGTCACATGTCTGTTGGTTCTCTTATGATGTGTTCGGATCTCTTGTGGTCACTTGTCTGTTGGTCCTCTTATGATGTGTTCGGATGTCTTGTGGTCATTTGTCGTTGGTTCACTTGTCCACCGTTCAGTTGTCTTGAAAACGTTCCCTAAATTAGTTTGAAACATATCTTCCAATCTCTCCCCCCCCCACTTTTTCGCCTCCAAGGCTTCAAGGGACAATCGGTATA